CGCAATCTCATAATTCATTTCTTTATTTACATTGCAACTGCATAATTTATTATTCCATTATTTGCATTATAATTTTGTTTTATTGTTTTATTTGCATATTGCACAAGTAAAACTTAAATTCTATAGACAAATAAAGTTTATTTGTTCTATAATTTCACATTTGATTGTATTATCTATTTTTTTTTTCTTCTTTCCTTCTTTTTTTTTCAATTCTATATTAATCTTTAATTTTAAATTATAATTAATTATAATTTATCAATTTAGTTAATCAATAATTTTTAACAATAATAATTCACTTTTTATCTATTATGCAAAGATTTTAATATTTCAATTTATTTAAATGCAATTTTAAATAATTATTACATTTTAACTCCTTTTTTTTTTTTTTTAATTTTAAATATAATAATTTATTAATAAATTTTTCTGATTTTTTCTTTTCTTCTTTTGCTGCATTTTTAGAGCAATTTTGTGTTTAAAATTCGATTCGATGAACCATTTCGTGGTATAATTTATAGTGAAAAAGGTTTTCCAAATTGCATTTATGTGAATGCATCAATTCTAACCAAATTATCATATATAATTAAGGTACTTTTTTTTTTTTTTCAAAATATTTTTATTTATTATTTGTTAATTTAATACACTGAATAAAAAAAAAAAAAAATCGTTGAAAGAATAGTTTAACAGATTTTTTCAAATAACTTTTAAATATTCTTTTTTTTTTTCGTTGAAAAAAATAAAGTAAGAGAAAAAGATTATAAATTTTAAAAAACAAAATAAATTTATTAGAAGAAAAAGTTTTCCGACTTTTAAAATGAACAATTTTAGCACGATTTGTGATTAATTTTATTGAACTATTAATTTGATATTAAATTTAGGAAATAATTAGAAATTTAATCTGACAACAATTTCAAGAAAGGAAAAAATTATTTTAAATTTATGAATATTTTGTAATTTAATATTTATTATTATGATTATTTATATTATTATTATTTATCATTATTATTACTGTTATTACTATTGTTATTATTGTTATTATTGTTATTATTATTATTATTATTATTATTATTATTATTATTATTATTATTATTATTATTATTATTATTATTATTATTATTATTATTATTATTATTATTATTATTATTATTATTATTATTATTATCAATTATCATATAGTTATTATCGGTCAAAATGAATTGATAACAAGTAATCTTTTACCTTTCCCTTTCCTTTTCTGTTTTCAAAATATCATTTTTGCTTTTTTGATTAGAATAATGTCATTACTTTTTTTTTGAATTTCTTATTTTTGATTTTTGTTTTTAATTTCAAATTCCAATTTATATGAGTTGGCTATTATTTATTTAGCATAGAAATTTTATTTGTATTCAAGTAAAAAATTATTGTCATATTTTAGGGTTTAATGATTTAGCTAATGATAGAATATAAATTAAAGTCCATTTTTAAATTTTTTTATTTTTTTCATGAATTTGAAAAAAATTTTTAAATTGTGTTTAGTCTTGAAATTTCAATTTGTAACATAATATTAAATCAAATTATTAAACTACACATTGTAACAATTTTTATCTTTTCTTTTTTCTTTTAACGCAAAATATTATTAACCTAAAATTTATGCATAGGTACCATTAGATGGATGTGAAACAACCTATAATTCGGATGGTAACCTGGAAAATGCAATTATTGTTCAGGAAAATCCGTTATTTGTGGATGAAACTGATAAGAAATATTTATTAACATGCGTTCCGGTATTATCAACAACACTTGGGTAATTGTTGCCTAAATTTGCGGTGTCTCTTCTTTTTTGGTGAAAAATTTAGAGAATTTTTTATTTTTTTTTTTATTTTTGCAAATTTTAATCAGTGATTTTCGAAAAAAAAAGTTAAGTTTATTGAAAGATAATTTGGAAAATATTAGAATTTCCTTTTTTTTTTTTCTTCTATTCCATTAATTTATAGTGAATTATATAAATATAGCAAGAAATACCATAAATTTAAAAAAAAAAAATAAAAATTCCTACTTAAAAAAAATTCAACAAATGAATGAAATTGAATAACAAGGAAGTAAGTAATGAAAGTAAATTTGAAGTAATAAGCAGTAAAATATAATAAATGTGTAAAAAAATACAATTGAAATGATTAACGATTTTCTTTTGAAACGCTGACATAAATTGAAAATGTTAAAAAAATTTAAACAATTAATCTCCAATACTACTGTGTTCTTTTTTTTTTTTTTAAATTATTTATTGTTGAAATTTCAGATATTTGAAAAATTCTTAATGTTATTATTTGGAAATGATTTAGTAATTGAAGTTTTGATATAATTTTTAAGTTTTTTCTTTTTAAGTATAGAATTTCAGCTCATATATGAAAATTAATTGGTTTGATGTTCATTCATGTGCAAACTTCGTTTTTCTTTATTCATTTATGGTCTTGATTCAACTAGTTTCCCTGTTTTTTTTTAATTTGTAAAAGTTTAGTTAAATAGGAAATCATTTTGAGAAAAATTTTTAAACAACCGGTTTTAATTTTCTAATTTTTAACTGTTAGTATGAAAAAAAGAGCAAAAGAAATGAAATAATTTGCTATCAAAGAAGAATATAAATTTATTGTTTTTAAAAAGAATTGACACTAAAATATATTGATAAACAAAGTTATTTTTATTACAAACAGAAGAAAATGGAAGAAAAATAAGTATTTCATTGTAATTAAAATTAATTAATCATTTATTCTCTAAATTAAATGTATAAATTAGCTTAATAAGCAATAATATTAATTAATCATAATAAATAATCAATTTATTTTATAAATTATATTCAAATGATACAATGATATGATAAGAAATCACTGCGTAAAAATGAAAAAAAAAATTGTATGTCAGATAATGTATCTTTATTTTATTTTAAATTTATTTGAAATCGAATTATTTTAAATTGAATTTCTAAATTGATTCTTTTAAAAATTATTTTTGAATTAAAATAACATTTTTCTTATTAATTTTTTTTTTTTTTTTTTAATTTTGCAGTTTCTTATCAGAAACTGTTAATTTTGGTGGTATCACAGTAAATAGTCAAGCTATTACTGTAGCAACAATCAATGCAACTGGTATTGCTGATCAAAATTTACAATATAAAGTCGAACTTTACAAAATTAATTTTGATGGTACTCTACAACCAATCAATGGTTCAGTTTCTGTTGGTGATAATATTGTAAGTAATAATTTTTTTTTTTGTTTTTTTCTCATTCATATTTTATTATTTTTCTAAATTTTATATATTAAATGGTAATTTTTCATTTTCTTTTTTTTTTTTTTTGATTTGTTAAAATAAAAAATAATAATAATTGAGGGTAATGTATTTTTTTTAATTAAATTTCACAGATAAATTTCTTACTTAATTATTTGTCCATCTTAAGTTAATATTTTTTGTATGAATTATTTTTTGATTAAAATAAAAAGTTTTCTTTTTTCTGCTACTAAAAATGTTCAAATGTGTTATCAATTTGTTTATTGTTCATTTGCTTCCTTGTTTGATCGTTCAAATCAACTTTATCATTTATTGCCCATTGTTTATCATTTATTACCCATTGCCTATCATCTATTACCCATAAAATTTTTTGTTAATTTAATTTCTAAAATTAAAATTTCTAATAGTTTTATTAATAAACAAACCTGTGGGCATAAGAGTGAATGAAATATTTAGTGCTTATAAAAAATAATAATAAACATAAAAAGGAAAGATGGAAAAAAGAAAATGCAAAAATTTTGAAAAGAATGTAGATAATCGTTTCCAAAGTTTTCCAATTTTAATTCAGATATTTCATGTTTTAATTTCAAATCAAAATTTTTACATTGAAATTATATTAGCCATATTTTTGTTGCCTTTTTTAGTGAGTTATAAAAATTTAAATTTTTCTTTTCCAATTTTTTTAATTTTCTTCTTATTAGTACAAAAAAATTTTCTTTTTCCTTTCATTGTAACCTGTATACTATGAATTATGTAAATAATTTCAAATTAGATTTAATTTTATCTTCATTTAATTTCAAATTAATTTTGATTTTATTTGCTAATTTTATTTCTGTGTTCCATTTTTGTTATCGAGAACGCAAATATAAAAATTTATTAATAATTAAATACTAATAATTTAGCAAAAAATATTCATTTAGTAAAATGTGTCATCTATTTGAGAGTTAAATGCAAACATTTATAAATTTCGATTTTCCGCTCCAACAATTTTCAATTTCTTATTTCGTTTACTTTTGCTATTGTATTTTAATTATTGTTTTTAAATTTTTTATTGTTATAAAATTATTTGCCTAACTCCTTCCATGATTAGTTTATCTTTCAAAATTAATACACACTATTAATCAATCAATAATTTAAAATTCGTTTATAAAGCACTGATCAATTTGATTACATATAAAAATGTTAATATTAAATTAAAATGGGAAATAATATTAAATTAGTATTAAATTAAAATGGTGTTGCTAGTAAATCAATATTAAATTGATCGGAAGATAATGTTAAATTAATAGTAAATTAAAATGGACGATGATATTAAATTAGAATAGAAGATGAAATGGAACTGATAAAATGTTGTTATTTTGACATTTCTCTCCACTTTTCTTTTAAACTTTTTTCCTTTAGAAATTATTTTATTTGATCTCATAAATATTACTGAATTATTTTCAATGATAAAAAAAAAGAAGTAATAATGTTATTTCATTTCATTTTTTTTAAAAAATATATTTAATCAGATAGATAATACGATGGTATTATTTTGTTTATTTTTTTAATCAAAATTTTTAAAAATTAGTTAACATTTTATATATTTTTTTTGAAAAATTTTCACCAAAATATGCCCTTTTTTTTTTAATTTCAGGTTTATATCATTCGTGTTAGCTCATTAGCAATAGATGCCCGAATTGGGCAATGTTGGGCACGTGATGAGCAGTCCACACTACAACTTTCAGATGATAACGGCTGTAGTATGCAACTTGCTGGTAATGTTTGGAATCATTTTCAACGTCAACAACACCATAATATTATCATTTTTCAAAATCAAATTAAAGCATGGGCATTTCCAACAAGGTTTGTACTAATTTCATTATAATATATTATAATAATAATTATTTATTAGTTACAATATGATAGTAATTAATTTATTTATTAGTAAATAATTAAATTAAAAAATTAAATTATTTAAATTAAAAAATTTTCATCATTTACTGTAATATAATATTAATGAATTAATTCATTAAATATAAAATTGGATGACTTTTTTGTCACACATGATAATATAATAGTAATTAATTAATTTGTTAATTACAAAGTTAAATAATTTTTCTACCAAATACAATATAATTGTAGTTAATTAATTTATCAATTATAAAATTGAATAATTTTCTTGAATAATACAATATTAATGAGTTAATTTATAAATTATAAGACAGTACCATCCTTTTGTCTCTTTGTTTCTTTCTCTGTCTCTGTCTCTCTCTCTCTCTCTCTCTATCCATATCGAAATTTATTTTACTGATTGAAAATGCTACACAATAATTATAGCTAAAAAAAAACTTTGCTTTTTTTTGCAAACTAAATTTTAGCACTGTTTTCATTATTTTGAATTTTTGACGAATAGGGGAGAGAGTAAGAGAGAGAGAGGGGGAGTGAAAAAAAGAAAGAAAACAATAAAAAGATGAATATCAAATTCCAAAGTAAATATTGTAGAAAACACGGAGGGAGGGGAGAGAAGAGGAGAGAAAGAGAGAAATAAATGTAAAATTATGAAATGAATATTATAAAATTAGCATATTATAAAAATATTATTAAAAAAACATACTACATGTAAGTAATGAAAGGAATATCAAAGTACTATAATTACGATAATCGATTAAACATATTATAAATAAACAAAATTCTATTGTAAAATTATGTAATTAATTAATTAATTGTCGTTTCTAATTAAGCACTTTTAAATGTTTGCTTTTTAGAAAGGAAAAAAAAAATAGGAAACGAAAAATTAAATATCTGAAATTATAAACAGCAAAGTAGTTTTTGTTTTTCAACAAAAAATAATAATTAAAAAACAATTTCAACATAATTAAAAACAATTTATTTATTTATTATAGCAATGATGTGAACATCTTTTGCAATTTGCATACGTGTCACATCACATGTCATCACATGCCCTGTAATGAACAAAGGCAGCGTCGAAACGTCATAACGATGAATAACATTGATGATGATGACGATGATGATGATATTCATGTTATACGGACCAATTTTCACGTTCACAATAAACATAAACCAACTGATGAAGAAGAAGACGAGGTTTTTTTATTGCTATTGTTATTATTATTATCATTGTTATTATTATTATTATTAACGTTATTATAATATTTATTATTGTCGACATTATTATTTTTCATTTTTATTATCATTATTGTTGTTTCTTCTTCAAATATTTTAAAATATTAAAAAAAAAAAAATTTATTAATTCTTGATTTTCGTAATTTATTAAAGTGGGAAAAAGATAAGAATAGCACAAGAAATTAATTTTAAAATACTAATTAAACTTTTAAACTATATGTTGGTAATGTGAAAGAATTATTATTAAAAATAATTTGCAGAAAAAAAAGTGTTTGACAAACATAATTTTTAATTTTTAGAAGGCCCAATAATGATTAATTATTACGGTTTAACAATAATTAATAATTAGCTGTTAAAATTTTCAATAAGTTAATATTTTCAGTCCCTGTAAACAATCAATTAAGCAAACAAACTAACATACACAGACACACATGCATACACATACATACACACACACACACACACACACACACACACACACATACAGACGTACGTCACACACAAACACAGCATGAATTATTGACGTAATTCATATGTTTTATTTGAAACAGTAAATATATTTCAGAAAATTACGTCATCACTTAGCATATATTAAAAATTACGCTGTACATGTTCACGTATATATACGTGTCTGTATTTAACGTGATATTTTTTCTATATACGTGATAATTTATACAGTAGTATTGAAAAAAAAAAAAAAAAAAAGAAACGATTAGTTTCATTATGATAATTAAATGAAAATAATTATATAATTATTAATACAATTATTTCCTTAAATAAATTAACTCAAATAAAAAAAAAAGCGCATTGATTTATTATTTATTTTATGCAAAAATCATTTCATAGGTTCTTTTTTTTTTTTAAATTTCAACTATTTAACCTTTTCTTTTTTTATCGCGAAAAAAATGTTAGGTATGTTCCAAAGAATGTTTTTTTTTTTTTCTTTTTTATAAAAAATATATATATACACATATAGAATTTCGTACAAATTTGAAAATGAAATATTTTTCCCTCTTTTAATTTAAAATTAAAATTTATTTAAATGAAATTTAAATAAAAATTTTATTTTTTGCAATGTTTTTCATGTTGTGTTTCAAAATTAAATTTAAGAATTCAACTTAAAAATAAAGTTTTTGCTCTTATTTTTTTTTGAATGCTTTTAAATGATTAATATCGTACCTTTTCTCCATTCTTTAGACTGTAATTGAAATTTCTCAGATTCCACATTCATTAAAAATTTGCCATTAAGAAGTCATTGATCACAATTCATTACAAAATTTATTGAGCAAATTTTTTGTCATTTTATTTTTTAATAATAAAAAATAAAAAGAATATCAAAAGAAAGAAGAAATTTCACAAACTATTTTGTCTTATGTTTGTATTTCTTATTTCAGTTGCAAATTAATATTATAAAAAAAAAAAAAAAAGTTAGAAATTTTAACTTTAATGAAACGATCAAAAATCTAGAAATAAACTTTGAATAGAAAGTTAAATGATGTCAAAGTTATTTTTGTCATTGTTAGTATGAAATGGAATTTCAAACATTTATTTAAAGTATATAAATGGTTGAAGATTAAGTGATTTTAGGAGGCATTTAAAATAAAGCATAAACTCTCAACCAATATTTTTCTTTTTACAATTCTATTCAAAAAAAAAAAAAAAAATGGATAAGAAGAATGTAATTAGCAATTTGACTGCTAATTTTTAAATAATTTTTTCTTTAACGAAGCAAAAAATTTTTTGAAGAAGAATGATTGCTGTTTTAAATAGAAAAATTTTTTTTTTAAAAGGAAATGGTTTTTCATATTTCATATCGATAAAAATTTTTTGAATGACAAATGGTTGTTATTTTATGTTTTAAAAGGAAAAGATAACAAAATATTTTGATGCAAAAGTATGTATGCAATGATAATTGAAAGAATTTATAAATTCTTTAATTAAGTAAGCAAATACTTTAATTAAATAACTAAATGTTTTTATTCATATATTTTTGTTTTAAAAGCAAAAGAATGTTTTATGTGGTCAAATATGAAAAAAAAAAAAAAAAAAAAAAAAAAAACGAAATACTTTCCTTGTAAATAATGATTGAAAGTGAGTCATAGTCCTATCCTTTTTTAATTTTTGTTCCAAATCTACCACTTCACAATAAGAAAGGTCATTTTTTTCTACTTCAATAATAAATATAAAATAGAAAAATAATATTTCAACTAGATAGTGATAATTTATGATGATGATTAAATCGTAAATATGGTCATCATCATTATTATCATTGTCAAGACTAATTATTATCACTGATATCATCATTATCGTCACCACCACCATCGCCATCATCATCATTATTGTCATTATCATTATTAATTACTATCACCAACATCATCATTATCGTCGTCGTCATCACCATTATGGCTATCATCATCATTAATCATTATATATTCAATATTGTCATTGTCATCACTAATTATTACCAACAACATCATCATCGTTATCACTACTATCGCCATTATCACCATTACTATCATTATTGTCATTGTCATCACCAATCGTTATCACCTACATTATCACCACTAGTAACTATTATCACCATAATCATCATCGTCATTCGTCATCATAATAAAGAGAAAAACGGAAGTGAAAGAATTTTTTTCATTTTATTCTTTAATTTTCTCTTTTTATCACTACATTCTTCATTAACATTTGTTACTTATCGTACCATAATGATAAGTTATCAAAATTTAATAGTGATTTGATATGCTTTTCTATATTTTCTTTCAAAAAGATACGATAGCATAAAATTTAATGAATTGAATAAATATTTAATCAAAAATGATTCCTTGTATTTATTATTTTCTTTTTTGTCCCTTTTTTTCATATAATTTTTGAGCTTAAGATTGTATGTAAAATTTATTCATTGCAATATTTGAAATATTATTACGAGAGGTTAACTTTTATCAAATATCACTGAAAAATTCCAGTATAGAAAAGGAGAGGTGAGAAAGAAAGAAACAAAGAGAGAGAGAGAGAAAGAGAGAGAGAGAGGGGAAATTTTTTAAGGGAAATTCTTTTTTGTTATCTACATTTTTTTGCCATCTTTAATCAACCCAAAACAATAGTTTATCGAAATCAAAAAATTACCTTATCATAACTTTTAAAATTACTTTTTTTTTTTTAAAAAAAAATGAAAGAACAAAAAACAAATCATTGATTGTTAAAAACAATTGATGGATAACTATTGGCATTCTTTTAGTTATATTTTAGGCAGCAAAATATATTGCATAACAAATAAATATAAGTATGAATTAATAACTAATTTTATTCAAAAAAATGAAATGAAACAAACAAACAAAAAAAAAAAAATTGTTCGATTCTAAATCCATCCTATTTGTTTCAAATTCATCACTTCCGCTCTTTTTTTCATCTCCTTTTCATTTTAAAATCTTGTTTCTTTTTTTGTTTAAAATTTTTTTTTTTCTTCATGTTACCCTTGTCTATTGTCCTGATTTTTTGTAAAAAGAAGAAATAAAAACAGGATGGAATAGCAAGTTTTTATAATTGTTACATTTAAGAAATTGAAATTCTACTAATTGAATAAAAATTCGCTTAGAAAAAATCTTTCTTTTTTCATTCTTATAATGTCAACACAAATGATAGAAATGAAAATAAATGAAATAAATATATTACATGAATTTGTTTATTTATTTATCATTAATTAATTATGAGGTGCAATTAATTAAGTAAATTGAATTTAGAGTAATTTTTCTCTTTTTTTTTTTTCATTTTTTGTTAGCCAATATTTGTTGGTTATAAATAGGAGAGGATTAAAAATGAATGATTTTGGGTAAGATTATATGACATTTTTGAATTATGATTACATAAGATTGTTTTTATTTTTAGATGATTTATTTTAAATCAGTATTTTAAAATTTTGAAAGCAAAAAAAAAAAAAAACGCAGTACACAAAATACTTAAATGCAAGGATGAAATAATTGAAGTTATAAATTGCTATGGTTTTCTTCTTTCTATTAATAAATTTTAAATTATTTTAAGATTAATTAACATTTCATTTGAATAAATATATTTCATTTATTTATTTTCATTTAATTGTTTCCGTTTTTTTTTTTTTTTTTTTTTTGCTTTTTAGAATTTCAACAATATGAAAAATAGCGGTAAATTACAAACGTCTAATGATCTATCAACAACAACAACAACAGCAGCAGCGATAACAACAATAACAATAACAACAACAATAGCAACAACAGCGACAACGACAAAACAAATAAATATGGTTATGAGAACATTGGAAGAAATGACAACAAGTGGAAATTTTTCGTGTTTAATAAAAATTGAAAATAGTAAATTGTTTATTATCACAATGATTATATTTTTATTTCTAATTCTTATTGTATTATTAGTATGGTTTTTGTTTGTATCCAAAATGTTACTAACAAATGATAAAATGAAATATATTTGCTGATAATGATATTTTATTAAATTATAAATTAGCTATCATTCATTTTTCTTTTTTTACATCTTTTTCCTTTTTAAACAAAAAATTTTTTTAAACAATTTAAGCAAAAAGTAAAAAAATAATAATAAAAAAAAAAAAAAAAAAAAAGAGAAAACGAAACAAGAAAACGAGAAAAGAATAATATCAATAATTAATTATAGACAAAAAGCATTTGCAGTAATTTTGATTTGCTTTATAAAATGTCAAAATTTCACTTTTAAAATAATGAAAAATTTGTTTAACAAAATTTAAAAATTATTATTATTATTTTTTTTCATTTTAAACGAAAAAGAATAAACTATTAAAAATCGAAAACATTATGAATTCTTCTTCCTTTCTATTAATTTATTCTTTTCTTTTTTTTTTAAAAGAAAAACGATAAAAGCAATTTTAAATAGATCATTCGAGAAAGTGGGAAAATATTAAAAACTAATACAATCAAAAATTTTTCACTCTTGCTTCATCGGAAATTTAGGTCGTTGCATATACATTTATACAACACACACACACATACACGCACATACGTACGCACACACATACACACACACACATACACGCACGCACAAACACAAATACACGCACATACGTACGCACACATACGTACACACATACATACCCATAAATGAAAGGCCCAAATATGCTTTTGGAAGGAAAAAAAAAAAGTTTTTCTTTAGAGAAAAAAATTCTAATTTACGTAATTCTTTCATTTTTTTCTTGCCTTACCTTCATCTCATCATTATTTACCTTTCCCTTTCTCTTCCCTCATCAAAATTCATCCAATCCAATACATTCATTTACCCTACCCGCCTGTTTTACCCGCCTGTACTCTGCGTATTTCTCATTTCCCATCAACATTCAATCCCACAATATCATCGTTATACATACATAAACATTCATCACAAAATCGCTCATTTAATTTCAATGCCTCTTATTCAATTCTTCCTTCCTTATATTTTGTTCTCTTTTTTAAAAAAAAAAAGAAAAGAAAAAAGGAAAATTTAGTGAATTATAAATTTTCATTCATTTCTTTTTCTTTCTTCTAAAATGGAATTAAATTTATTCAGTTTAAAATTAATTATTGAAATTAAATTATTGACGTATTTTATTTTTACTTTCATTTTCATATTATTTCTTTTAATGAATTAATAATTTATTATTGTGTAATTATTTGTTTTTATACGTATTATTGTGTAATCATATTAATTAATTTTATTATATAAAAATTATTATCATATAGTTATTTATTTTAATTTTTTTTTTTTTAAAATCATTCACATAACTAGCATTAAATATTTTAATTCGTTGTAAAAGTATTTCGATTCTTTTTTGCTAAATTAGAAAGAATAACAAATTATTTTAAAACAAAAATGTGTATGCAATGATAGTTGATAAATTCATAAACAAATTTTTCAATTAAATAAGCAAATGTCTTATTTTTCATCTTAATTTTTGCTATTATTATTTTCTTCTACTTGTTTTGTTGTATTGAAAATATTTTTTGATTAAATTAATTAATTGATCAATTCTATTAAATAATTGTATTTTCCAATAAATAGTAAAGTTGATAGATTAATTAAATTTTCAATGCAACAAGCTTTTATTTAATTTTTTTCCTAATTTTTTGTTAATTGAAAAAATCTGTTACTTATTGTAATTGATGACAAATGATATAAATTTTGAATTCTACATTTCAATTTGATGCATTGTAACTTCTCATTTCTATTTGTAACAATAGAAATAAATAATATTAAAAAGTACAATTATTATTTAAAAAAAAAAAAACTTAAAGAAATACTATATTCGAATTGATTGATTTCAATTTATAACAACTAATTATTCCTTTCATAATAAATTTATTGTAATATGTTAACAATTTAAAAATATGAAAATATTTTTTCAAATTCACATATTAAAATTTCATATTTTTTGTAATACATACACTTCTAAAAATAATTTTAGTGAGAAAAATTTAATTTAGTAATGAATTAAATTCAAGTTTTGAATTCGTTCAAAAATTTTCACTTTTCATTAAATTAATAATGCTAAATTTTTGTATTATTATTTATACAATTACGAAACGCATAGTTTTCTCGATTGAAATTACGAAAAAATTAGGCCAAGGATTGTGATGAAAATACTTTTTTTTTTCTTTTCTATCTTATTTAACAAATGTTTACCTGTTTATACCTGTTTAGTCGAGACGACAAAATTTTTGTTTATTTACCCGAGACATTTTTTTCTTTTTATCCATTTACCCGGGACATTTTTTTCTACATTTCCACTGAAATTATCAATTAAATTCTATTTAGTAAAAACAAAAAAAAAAAAAAAACAAATCATTTTAAAAAGTTCACTAAAATTTATTTTAATTGCATTTTTTTTCCAATCAGTACCATTACTTTCTACTATTATTATTATTGTTGTCGTTGCCGGGAAATACAATTAAGCAATTAATTGATTAATGAATTAATTTTTTAATATCTATAATAAATATCATAATTTCTTTTTAACTTACTACATAGTTTTTTTTTTTTTAATTTTAGAAGGAAATGAAGAAAAAAAAAATTGTTAAATTTTAAATAAACTAATAACGATTAATGAATGTCGTAGCATCTTTGTCTTTTTTTTCTGCTTTTTTCAACTGGGATATATTTTGTTTACAATTGTTAAATTACTTGTTTTTTTCCTGTGACAAAAAAGAGTGAGAAAAAAAAGAATTTATAGGAATGTAAGAAAAAAGATTGAGAAAAAAAAATTGATGCTTTTATATTCAGTTAACTAATTAATTCATTTTAATTAGCAGATTTTATTTATTTATTTCTTTGCGAATTGTGTAGTAAATAAATAAATTGAACCGGTTAGAAGACAAGTTTTTGTCTTCTTTTTGATCTTTGTTTCATTGTTATAATACCATAAATGAAAATAAGTTATGTATATATGTATAATAGTTAATATAATTATCTTTGAATAATTATTTTATTATTCGAATTTAATTATTTGATTGTTTTAGAAAGAATACGAATAATCAATTAATTAAATGACCAATTTTTTTTCTTTTTCTTTTCTTCTTCTGTTCATTTTACAATAAAAGCATTTAATTTGTTATTTAATTTGCTTATATTTTATTTATTTATTTCCCTAATTTATGTTTTCCTCTTTCTTTTTTTCTTTCTACAAAAATCTTGCTGAATTTTAATTTTCTTTTTCTGCTATTTATCAAAAAATTTTTGCTGAATAATTTATGTTTGTTTAAAAAGCAAAATTTGAAAACAGTTATAACTACCATTGTTTATTGTTTTCAATTTTAATTTTTACATTTTAATTTCCAAAAAGGAAGACTGAATGCATCGATGATAACAAATCATTGTTCAAAAAAGTTTCATATAATTTTAGTTTTAATTTTTAATGCTTAGCAAACAAAAACGAAACAGTAAAATTGTGTAATTGCATGAATAAAATTGCACATAGCAAAAATAGATTTAAAAAAAAAAAAAAAAAAAAAAAAAAACTGAAATTATTGAAATTATTAAAAATGGCAAAATTGGTTTAAATAAAAGGCAAAATTTTTGAAGCATTTATTTTGACATTAGATAATTTAAGAAAAGCGAAACGATTGGGAAAAAAACGCTTGCAATGAGCGCTTAGCAAGAAAAAATTTTATTTCTAATTAAAAAAAGTTTCACTTAAGAGTTATCACTTATTTATTACCAAAAAAAAAAAAATGAAATTTGAAATTTATTAATTATTGAACTGAATGCAAAGTATTGCGATCTAAGTTTCAATTTCATAGATATTCATCCATTATTCAATTATTGAAAAAGAATATAATATGAAATTTGTTATTATTCATGAAATGTATAAAAGATATTGAAATTTAAGTTTTGATTTGATAGATATTTATTATTTGAGTATTTAAAATTTGACATATTTTACTCATGTTTTGTTTTTTTTTTTTTAAATTATACTTTCATCAAATAATATTGTTTGCAAAAAAAAAAAAAAAAAAGGAAAATTTTAATTACAACTTTAATAAATGGAGGTAATTTCTACCTAATTCAAAAATAAATTTATTGTTTTGAAATTATATTTAAAAAAAAAAAATAATCATATGAAACTATAGATGAAATAAATATATGAAACAGAAAAAAACCACGGAAATGCTTCTTTTTTTTTTTTTTTATTCATTCAATTTATTTTTTTTTTTTAAAAATCGTTTCAATTTTGAAATTATCTATACATATTAAATGGTAATTTGATAAAATAAAAAATTATTAACAATTAATTAATCAAAATTTGTAATCATTCATGCAATAAATGATAATATTATTTACTTGTCTAATAAAATCTTTCACTGTAAACTTTTTACTTGTATTTTTAAAAAAATTGAAAATTTAATCAATCGATTTATTTATTTAAAAAAATTATAAACCTTTCAATGCTGTGAAAATTTGTAAAATATGTGAACATTTTAAAAATATTGCAATTATTTCATATTTAAATGATTAAAATCATCTCTCCTTTTACATAATTAATTAGTAATTATTAATTTTAATATTTTATATGCATACGATTTTTTTTTTTTGAAAGTTTTTCATGAAAATAAAATATATTAGTTTGTTTCTGCTAATAATTTCTCATAAATTATAGTTTATAATTTATAAAAGTTATTTATCATTTGGTCTTTATCGTTGCTATGATAAAAAAAAAAAAAAAATCATTTGTTAGCACTTAACGAAATTAATCACTGATTTATCGTTTTTTCATTTTCAAATTAAAAAGAAAAAAGTTTAATTTAATCAAAATAAATTTTGAAAAATGAAGAAAAAAATGAAAGTAAGCATTCTTTTGTACAATTATAAATATTACATTTAATATTTGTTATTCATTTTTCATTTTTCTTTTTTAAATTAAAAATTTATTTATTCGTTTTTTTTCTTTAAAAAAAAAAAAATAAAAAATAAAAATGGAAAAAAGAATTTTAAACGATAGCAAAAAATTGGTCATAATTGATATAACGAAAATTTTGATTACATTGATATAATAAACAATTTTTGGTTATTTCACTCTTTTCAAGTTTATTTTATTGTACATAAAAAAAAAAAAAATTAGTATTATATGCATTAAATAATTAATTCAATTTTTATTAAATAATTCAATTTCAATATATTTTTTTGCTATTATTTTAAGCGCAAAAAAAAAAAAAAGAAAATGAAATTATATCAATGTAATTAATAAAATAATATGAATTAATTCTTTTCCTCTTTTATTTTATTTTCATTTTCTTCTCTCTTTTTTCCCTTGTTATCAAGGTGTAAATTTATAAAAAAAAATAATCAAAATTATCATTTGCTACTATCATATCACATTCATTTGATAATTAATTAAACTGAAAGAAAATTTGTACGAAACATGGGACCGCCTCGTTATCAATTATTTTACACTATGAACTAGCATTGTGCGCAATTTAAATTCATTTTGCTCTATTGCTCTCTCACTCTTCCTTCTATCATTCAATAATTGAATTAAACAAAAATTTTAATTCATTTCAAATTAAAACTAATTCTAATTGATCAATCAATTAGCATTGCTAGCATTAGCATTCTCTAACATTCATTTCTGATCAATTTTGATCAATCAGTTAATTAATTAGTTAGTTAGTTAATTAGTGAAATTTAAATCCATCAGTTAGTTAGTTAGTTGATTTAGTTAATTGAATTAGTTTACTTATTGCAGTGAAGTTTATTTCCATTCAATAAAATCGATCAATGGAGATAACTGGTTTTAGTTAGCTTTGTTTAATTTTACCTATCCAAAATTAAACTTACCCATTACTTTATTGACAATTTAATTTAACAATTGCATTTTCAGTTTAATTTTCGTGCAAAAATTTCATATTTATGCATTCAATTTCAATTTTGCTCACATCTTTTAATACATTAACATAAAAAAATTCAATGAAAATTTGCAATTTTTTAATCAATTGAAATTTTATTTTTTTTTTCTTTTGAATATTATATTAAAAGAAAACAAAAAAAAATGTTTTTGTTATTTGAAGGAAATAGAATTTTGTTTCTTTAATATTTATATATAATAATTGAAAGAAAGAAACAATTATATTGCAGTTAAAATTTTTAACAAATTAAATTTTTTGATGATTGTATGCTATTTCATTTATAATAAATATATATATATATTCAATTAGTAAACATTGTAAAAATTAATGGCACTTATTGTAGCAAAATGTATTACTACTTTTTCCTTCTTTTCTTATTTTTGCTTAGAACTTATTACATTACAAATTTAAATATATATTTAAAATTTTTTCAAATAGAAATTCTTAATCTAATTTTAAAATTACAATTTTCACTCACACATTTCTAAAAAAATTAATAAATAAATAAATGAAACAAACGAAAAGGAGTAAAGTTTTAATGATTTTAATTTTATTTCACTGCAATAATAATAATAATATTTAATTTTTTTTCTCCTAAATGAAAAACGATTTTTCTACATTTCATAAAAGTTTTATTAATTTTTTTTTTTGTTTTTTTTAAGGTATTTTATTTATTTCCAACTATACAACTAATAATGATGCTTCAATATAAAGCTAATCGAACAATGAAACGATGGTCAGAATGGAAATTACAACAATATCTTTTCCAATTTTGGCCTATTTACATATTAGCTATTATATTTGCATTAATCAGTGATACGATTGCTGATAGTGATTTATCAGCAAATCCTGGTGCAGCAACAATTATCACTGATAAAAGGTAAGCAATGCAACAAATTCTTGTTAAACCGATGATTCAGTTCTTTTACAGTGTATCGATTGAATCCAAAAACCAAGGAACAGACAGAATTTCTTCATGAATTACTCGTAAATAGTACTAAGGTAAGTTAATTTTTAATTTTTTATTTTAGCTTTTTTTTTCGAATTTGTGTCAGTTTGCATTGTAAGTTAATTTTGAATTTTGTTTTTTCTTCAAATTATGATTAAATGAATTGATGAATTCTAATTTAATTCATTTCGAATTTAATTTAATTTACTATTTAGCATTTTAAACTAATTTATAATTTTTAGCATTTAGCACTTCCTAAAACATTTAGTAAAAAAAGGTGGAAAAACGAAGAAAAATTAAATAATATAATTTGAAGATTTGTGTGCAAAAAAAGTTTAAATTAACTATTAATGAAACTAAGTATTAAAAAGAAAAAAAAGTTAATTTAATAAATTAATATTGATAAATTAATCAGTTAGCTTATTTTTGAAATAATCATAAAATCACGAAAGTTCATTCATTATATTATTACGATAAGCGGAATATCACTATTTATTATGAATGTACAATCTTTCCTTCCTAGAAGCTCTTTGTTTTGTTAAATTTTAATTCATTTCTGCAAACATTTCATAAGCATTAATTTTTATTCTTTTGACTATTTTGGAATTTTTGTAAAAAATATTAATTTAAAAGTTGAAAAAGATTTTACGTAGAAATTATACGTTAAATTACAACAATTGAAATTATATCACTCGATGATAATTTTGATATTTATTTTAGATAGACTTCTGGAAGGCACCACGAGTAGCCGGTGGTCAGGTACATGTGATGATTCAAGGACAAATGAAAGATGAATTTTTGCGCTCAATGAAAATGCGCAACATTTCATATTCGGTTATGATCGACGATGTTGAAAAGTTTGTTTAATTTCCATTAAATTTGAAAATATTCTGATAGTTCAAATATATCAAATATTTGAGAGTTTTTGAGCAAAGAACATTCCATAAAGCTTTCATTTTTTACATCATTTTTCTTTTCTTACTTTTAAAGAGAAATTTATTGTAAAATTAAAATTTTCATTTTATGATTTTTATTGCTGGTTTTATTTACTTTCAATCCAAAAAAAAGCAATTTGAATTAAATGCCGAGTTAATTTCATTTTTATGGCAATTTAAATTACAACTTTTACAGACCACAAATGAAAAGTTTGATTAACATATATTATCACAAATTGAAATGATTTGCTGTTATCGGAAAAATAAAATTTTAAAAGAGTGAAAAAAAGATTTCCTTTTTTCATCAATTATGCAACTTTAATTCAGAAATTCAAACAAATTAACTAGTTTTTGTTGAAAAATTATTCGTTCTTCTTTTTATTCAAACATAACATATTATTTAAATATGACCACTGAAAGAACAACGATAGCATTTCAAATATTTCGATTTCGAATTTTCTTCTTTTCAAATTTTAACATTTTATAGCTTTGGATTTTAAAGTTAATTAATTGCTAAGTGAATAGCAAATTTTAAAATGATCCTACGATTATGAAAGATATTATGAATAAATGAGTAGAATTGCTGTACTTTATATTATTAAACACATTTAACACATATTAATGTAATGGAAATTAATTCAAATGGAATAATTCATTCTCGAAATTTTAAAATCTTCCAATATCTGTAATTATCACTGATAAATTTTATAGGAAAATAAGAAAATTAAAAGAAACAGCCAAAAGGTCACATAATTACAATCGATTACGAGATGATTCGTCTCCATCACGTCGAGTTTATTTCAATTTAGCACAATATCATTCATATAATGAAATGATCGATTATTTAAATCAGTTAAATGCTGCATATCCGGATCGAACCGAAGTGACAAATATTGGTGTTACACATGAAGGACGACCGATCAAATTAATTAAGGTATCTTATGCATACAGTAATTAAAAAATGCAAAAAGAAAAAGAAAATTATGCAAATATATGTATGTATGTATATTTTTATATCCTTATTAAATTTATTTTTGTATATTTTATTATCAAATAAATAATTTTTTAATTTTATCGTGCATAAAACATACAGTAATTGGGTTGTCTTTGATTTATTATGAAGATAAAAGAAAAAAAGTTAACATAAGTTTTAGATTGGCAAACCAAGACAGTTCCGGAAAGCCGGAATTTGGATAGATGGTGGCATACACGCACGTGAATGGGTTTCACCAGCTACTGTATTATATATAATTGATCAAGTAATTTCATTTATTTCTTCATCCAAGCGTCAAATACTACGTAAATCTTGCAAATTAAGCAATAAATCAAAAACTATTTGCATATATTTTAAGAAATTAATATTTTTAGGAAAATGGCTTTTTTATTTCTTTTTGCTAAGCTAAACTTTTTTTAATGTTCAATAAACATAAGGTATTATAATATATAAAGATTTGAAATTTATAAAATTATTTAGTTAAAATTTGCATGGTAATTTGAACAAATTTTAAAATTAATATAATGAATTCAAAAATTGAGAAATTTTAGTTATACCATATGCAAAAAAAAAAAAATATCAATGAAATCAGACAACTCAATTATTGCTTTATTCACTCTTTGGCATTTCATTTTGTGCTACGTTAACAATTCAACATTTAAAATCAAATTGTTAAAAATTACGCGATGGCACTTTCCGAAAAAAATTAAAATTTGAAGTAGTAGAAAGAGAGCAAAGAATATTTCGAATTTTAGCAAATATTTTGTTAATCGAATTATATCACTGAATTTTAAAACGTTTTTGCATGTTTTTTTTTTTTCCTTTCTTTTTCAGTTTTATTCTTTTCTTTTCATTTTAATCGTTTTTCTTTTCATCTAATTGCATTGACAATGAAATTCGTCCTATGCCTCGAGGAAATTATTTTTTAGAAATTTCAGTTTCTTTGAAAAAAATAAAATGCTCGCATTATAGCCTGGAGAAGTTAACATTTTTATAGCCTGGAGAAGTAACATTTTTTGCAGATAGCGTAAATTTTAAATTAAATGACGTGAATTTTCCATCGCGCTTCATGCATTTTTCAAATTATTCTAAATATTTACTTCAATATTGATGCAAAAAAATCAGCACAAACCATATGATTATGCTTCAGTTAGCTCAATAAATTCATTAATTTTTAACTTGCATGAAAAAGTATAGTGCCAAATTAAAGGTTTAATTAATTTTAAATTATTTGAGTAATTAATCTTATTTTTTATCAATAAAAGAAATAATTACAAATTTTTAATGGATTGTTAAATGGACATGAAAATTTGCTAAAATTTTCCATCTCAAAAAGAAAAACTCATCTACATATGCAAATAAATGCCTTCAAATAAAAATTAAAAGTTAAGATAAGTAATATTAGCATTGAAATTTTACTTAAAACAATTTACTAATGAAGTTTAAACAAACACTAATTTCCCCACATCCTAAACTTAGTAAACCCACAAAAGAAGACAAAAATCTTATTTACTTCAACCAAATATTTTTATATTTTAAGAGATTCTTTTAAATCACAAAATTCATTTTGAATTACACACATGCAATTAGCAATGTATTTCTAGCTCATTGTTCTTGTTGTTATTATTAATTAGCAATTTATAATAATTTTATCTACTACTAACTGGTAAAATTATACTTATGGCTTATTGCTGTTAATTCATAACTTATTCATATTTGTAATGAAATTAGTCGAAATTTATATACTTCAAATCTTTTTAAATTTTAAAATCACATTTATTATATTTGTTGTTAAAGTTTTGAATTTAATTCACTGAAACTTAATGCATAGGATCACATCTTATAGTGCAGTCGGCAAATTTGACTATCCTGCAATGCTTGCATGCATTCATGTGCATGTCATGCAAAATTTTGCAGCTAGTAACAAAATATGATGTAAATCTGCAAATTCGACGTCTTGTTGATGATATGGATTGGTTTATTGTTCCATTGCTTAATCCTGATGGATATGAATATACTCGAAGTAGCACTAATCCAGAAGTTCGACTTTGGCGCAAAAATCGTTCACCGATTACTTGCCGTATTGCACAAAATGGTATTTTCTTAAATTTACAAAATTTGATTTTAAAATTTCAAAACTTTTTTTACTTTCAGAAGGCAAAAAAATTGTACTAAACTTTCTTTTATATATTTTTTTTTGCTATTACAGTAACCCATCCCTCAACAACAGTGATTACCGTAGTTTTATTGTATTTGTGCGGTTAATGAGCATAGTCTTATTTTAATTGAATTTGAAAATCAAACACTTTTAAACTATTTCAAACAAAATTTTTAATGTAATTAAAAATCTTTAAAATCTTCAATCACAGTAAAAGTTTTAATCAATTGAGTAAAAAATAACGCATATTGTAGCTCAATACAGTAGACGAAAGTTAGTACAAAATGCATACTGTGGCTTGACAAAAATAATTCATAAGAATGTTTCTTGAGCTATAAAAGTGTATCGATATTTAGAAATTAAAACTAAAGTTATAAAAGGTGCAATAAAAAGGACGAAATTTTAAAAATGATTAATTTGAAGAATTTATTCAAATTTCAGGAATTTTTTCACAACCTCAACAGGAATGTTGTCAGGGTGTTGATTTAAATCGAAATTATGATTGGCATTATGGTATGGAAGGATCATCTAATGATCCGTGTTCAGAAATTTATCAAGTTAGTTGATGATCGTTATCATTTATTATCAAAAATATGTCAAGTTCTATCCTTATTACTTATAATGCTTGTAATTTGATGAAGCCAATTTTTAAAATATTTTTTTAGCTTATGTAAAAATTTTTATTTTTGTATTATTAAAATTTAAATTAGCTTTGGATAAAAATGATTAAAATGAAAATTTTCAGTTTGTTTAGTAAAATAAAGGAACAAAGAAAAAAATTTATAAATCAAATTTAATAAAAAATTTTTTGATTAACAATTTGCTAATTATTTCTCTTTTGCGATTTCTCCTTTTATTTATATTAAAAAAAAAATCATAATTGTTGTTTAGAAAAGAAAAAAAAAATATGGTTTTTTTTTCCTCATTTTTATATTATTTTGTATTATCTCTTATTGTTTCATGGCACTTTTTCCCATTTTTATATTATTTTACATTGCTTATATTATTTGCTTTATTGATATATTAGTTTTTATTTATTAATTCTATTAATATTAATTTGTTTACTTTTGAAAAATAGAAAAAATATGCAAAAAAAAAAACAAAAACAAAAACATAGGAAGATTATTATTATTCATTTATTATAATTCGTTTGCAAATTTTGTTTATTTATTTAGAATTATTTTGTTCATGCGCATCTTTTATAGGGTCCATCTGCGTTCAGCGAACCCGAAACACGAGCAGTTCATCGATTTATTGCTAAACGACGTGATACTATCAAAACATTTTTAACATTTCATAGTTATTCACAAATTTTAATGTATCCATTTGGACATCGTGAACAAACATATACGTCGGATGTTGATGATTTAGTTAGTAATTTTATCATTTTATCAAATATATACACATATGTACATGTCTATGTGTTAGTGTTTATATATACGTACAAATATCGAATATTATTATATTAATTTTTATTTATTAATTCTATTAATATCAATTTGTTTACTTTTGAAAAATAGAAAAAAATATGCAAAAAAAAAAAAAAAAAAAAAAAAAGAAAAACATAGAAAATATTCATTGTAAAAATATTATCTAATAATAATGATAATTTAAGTGATTGGTGAAATAATGCAGTATTTAATATTATTAATTTATAAATCAAAGTACATGAGAAGGTTAAAGGTCATGATTTTTTTTTTTTTTTTGAAGAAAAGTACAGCAATGCAAGCAGCAAATGCGTTACGTGCTGCATACGGTACACAATATACGGTTGGTACTGGTGCTGATACATTATGTTAGTTTCAGTATTTAAAAAAAAAAAAAAACTTTTTATTAAAAGTAATTTAAGAAGGAAAAAAAAAAAAAAACTAATGAAACTATTGAAATTGAAAATCAATAATCCTAATTAATCTTTTCGCTTTTTTTTTGTTGCCTTACAAAAGACATAATATAAAGAAATTTTGACTAATTTTTTTTTTTAAATTTTTAATTTTATTTAATAAAAGGTTTTGCCAATTTAATAAAAAATTTTTAATGCAGTAATTACGCTGAAAAAAATTTTGTTCTTTTCTTTTTTTTTAGATCCTGCATCAGGTGGAGCTGAAGATTGGGCAAAAGGTCGAATGGGAATAAAATATTCATATTTATTTGAGCTACGTCCAGATGGTCAAGTTTGGGATGGTTTTTTACTAGATGAAAGTCAGGTAAAAAAATGAATAATTGAAAATATTTTATCTTTTTTTTTTTTTTGCTTTTTCCTTTCATTTTTTTCTTATTAATATATTTGAGAGATTTGATTTTATTCTTTAGTATTTTTCAAACTTTATCTCATCAAAACTCATATCTAAACATTAATTTTGTCGTTTAATTCTAAGAAGGATTTAAGAAAATTTTGCTAAAATATTCAAAAAACAAGTACTTATGATAAAATATTTATTATCAAAAAAACTTGCTATTAGCATTAATTGTAATTTTATAGAAATAAATAAATACTCTGAAATCATTTTTTTTTTCGTACTTTTAAATTTTTAATTAATTAAAGATTTTGTATGGTTTTTTTTTTTTTTTTTTCAGATATTACCAACAGCACGTGAAACATTTGAAGCTGTAAAAGTGATTGCTGATCGTACGTCTGCTATGTTTACACCAAAAAGTTTGCCAAATATAGCAATGAATAATTCAAAAGGATTGGTATGAAATTATTTCGTATAAAAATTTGGCTTTTTTTTTTTCATTTTGTTTTTTGTTTTCTATGAGATTTAACCATAAATTTATAAAACAAAAATTTTGTTTATAAAATGTATTTAAATATTTCTCACAAAGTAATTAAAAGTTTGCAAAACATAAGTGAATGCGTTTTTTCTTAATTTAAAATAAATTCATTATTAGAAAATGAAAAAAACAATGGAGCATAAGATAATAAATGTAAGAAAATTAAAAGCTAATTTATTTGGATGTAATACTTCAATATGAAGTGCTAGAATTGAGTAAATAGAAAAGAAAAAAAAACGCATAGATAGATACAGACGAACAAATAAATAAACAAACGAACATACAAGAAAATAAATAGAGGAAAAAAATAAAGAAATAGATAAATAACCAAGAAACAAGTAGGGAAGTAAGCATAAATACAGCGGAGAAATAAATAAATGAACACAAACAAGCAGATAAACAAAACAAGCAATCATTTTTGCGCCAATCCAATATTATAAATAAATTTTGTATAATCGAGAGGATCATTAAATTTCTCATTAATTAATTAATTTTTTTTTTTCTAAAAAAATATTAAATAAGATTACAAAGAAAGAAAAGCACAGCAAAATATAATCAGGTAGATCAATCATATGACGTCAATATCGACAAACTCATCAATATATCATTGGTTTGACATTTAAAATGCTTGAAATTTAATGTATACTCGAATTTTTGCATACGCAGTAAAAATTGGCACATTTAATTGCAAACATTTTGCAAGATTAATGACTGTAAATTGGATTTAAATTCCTTCAATTTGATAATCTTAACAGATTGTTTTATACTTTGCCTGCTTGATCTTTTGTTTTTCCAAAATTATTCCATCAATTCTTTTTTAAGTATCATTATTAGTGGAATAAATGAATAAATAAACGAGTAAATGAACTATTAATAATAACAATAATAATATAATAAATAAAGTAATACTAGTGAATGATATAATAATGATAACCAATAACCTTTAACTATAATAACCTTATAGAATCACGATAGTTATCATTGTCGTTATAATCAAGTAAACAAATTATCCGATGATTAACTTTACTTTAAAGAAATAAAAAAAAAAAAAAATCACATTGCGTCTTATTTTTGAATTATAAATGGATAATTTCTTTTTAATGTCTAATTTGTACAAATAATGTTGATTCTATTAAAAAAAGAAAAAAAAAAGGCTCAAGATTTGCTATTTGAAAAAATAGCCTGAATGAATAAAAAATAATTTTAATGATATTGGTCCTAGATAAACTAATACTAGTGAAAAAAAGTATAAATAGCCTTAAGCAATAAATAAATTTCGTTTTAAAAATGGTATAATTTAATGTCTCAATAAATTCGTTGGAAAATAAATTTCTCAAATTAATAAAAATATGCCTTCTTTTTTCTCAAATTAATGCAAAAATCAGTTTAATATACAATCACACATTCCGCTTAATCTTTTTATATTTCATTTTTCATTTCTTTTCTCATATGTTTTCCACATTAGTAGTTTTATTTCTATTTATTCAAAAAAAGGGTAAAAATTTAAAAGCATATGCTTTAGGCATGTGTTGACAATGAACCATTTTGCGCTTTTTGGGCTCAACACGGTTATTGCGCTAATTGGGAAATTATGCGAAGAATTTGCGCACGTTCATGTGGCTTTTGCGGTAGAAAAATTAACGCTGCTACGTAAAACAGTAAAATATATTTGTTTACGTACGTAAAATTGTATGATAATGTTTACTGAAAATGGTTTACTTACTTTATTCATTGCTAGAATCAACTACTTTCTTTTTTTGGTAGTAAAAACTTTTTCAGGATAATTCGTTATCTGTTCTAAAAAATAATTGAAATTAATTTTTATAGTTTATTTGTAGTTTGTTTAGTCTGAAAAAATTTTTTCTTGTATAACAATATTTTACTTTTAATTTGATATTATTATGAATTTGCTATGCTGAACTTTTTTCTTTACTAAGGAAAGAAGTTGAGAACGAAAAACGAAAGGGAAAGGGAGTTAAAAATAGGAAAGAAACGATGAGTTGGACTATTTCAAATAATTTACAATATTTTATTTCATCTAATATTACAAAGTATTAGTTAAAGTACAAATTCACAATTTTTATTTAAGTACTTTTTTTTTTACAGCAATATTCTTTGCTATTTTGTTTCCAATTATTAGAATGTTTAATTAATTATTAGCATTATTAGCAAAAGTTCACCTTGTAAATCGAATAGTTGAGTAATTCATATGATTGCATGATTAATTTTTTTAATTAACATAAAACATAAAGGATATTGAACATTAAGAATTACACAAATAAGAATTAAGCGCATTTGTCATAAGTACATATTTTCTTTCATTGCACTTTTAGAATTCTGTTTTTTTTTTTTTTTTTTTTGAAATCTATTATTATAATTACTTCATATATGATTTTCATCCATTCATTCATTAATCAATCGCTATTTTCGTGAATTATTGATTTGATAATTTAATGATTATCACAAAATGCTTTAATGATTATTTTTTGTCCCCTTTTGATGATAATTTTGGAATAAAATGATGTAACTGAAGAAGAAAGGCAAATAGAAATTATAAAATTTGTAATAATTTATGGTGAAAAAAAGACGAAAATAAGAAAAATAAAAACGAAATGGAATAAAACAGAGGATGGAAAAAAATGATATTACAAAAAACAATTTTAGGAAAAGAATTTTTTTAAAATAAACATCAAATTTTGGTGTGATAAAAATGTTCAGCTCTCACTCATATCATTGTCAATTTACGCAATTGGTAATATTTCACTTAAATTCTAATCTTTTTTTTTTTGTTTTTTGGTTGATCATTTGATATATGTGATCATCCGAATGGGTGGATAAAAAAAATTTGGTTTATTACACGGGGAATTGTAATTAATTATCACATAGATAAATTTACAAGTTAAAAATTATTAAGAGCGCAATAATGATTCATATGTTTACTAGTAAGTATGATTCATCAGGTCACGTTGATTACTCAAATTTTTTCAAGGTAAACTTACTATCCACCATGTGAAAACAATTAAGGTAACACGTAGAGAAAACTGGCAATATTTCTTTTCTTTATTTATTTATTTACTTTTTTTTTTTGGTTCCTTTTTTTCTTTTCTTACTTAGGAAAAAAATTCTTGTTGGAAAAAATTAATTTTCTTTAAAAAAAAAAATATAAAAAAATATTTATTTTAGTTAAATAGATATTGATTTATTTATTTGTTTAGTAAATTTATTTCATCAATAATTTATTTCAAAAAAAAGAAATAAAAAATTGCATTAATGTTTTTATTCCTATAAAATGGAATTAAATGTTAAATTATTCACCACTTTTTTTTTTTTGTAATTATAGTAGTAAATAATGAGATTAGCAAATTTTTTTTTAAATAAAATCTAAAAGTGTTAAGAAAAATGTCCAAAATGACAAAGATATTTTTATTAAAAGATTATTTTAATAATTCCATTGTCATTTCATTAAAATGTATTGCAATAAAATATTTATAATGATACCGGAAAGCTATTTTCGGAAAATTATATTATTCAGCAATATCGGAAATACTCTAGTTTTCCTTAATATCAATTTATCATTGAACATGGAAATGATTTTAAAAAAATGGGAGAGAAAAAAAGAACTATATTTTGTTGTTATTACTTTTTTACAAAAATTTTAACTTTTTTTTTCAAAATAAGTAAATGACATAAAAATTATTGCTGAAAAAAAGATTTTGGAATTTTGTTTTTTTTTGGATAAATATATAAATATTGAAGAAATATTCATACATATATTGATATATATTTAAATAAATATTTAAATGATTAGCAAATTTGTATTTTTCCTATTAATAAGCAGTAAATCAATTAATAGTACTGCTGAAATTTAAAATCATTTTTTTTTGCATGCAATTTTTAAATATTTTTAAAAAATAATCAGAGATACAATATTTTCTGCCTATCGTACTACTACCCTCTCACTACCATATTACTACCGTACTTTCATACTACTACCGTATTTTGCTTACATAGATAACTTTTCGTTTTGCTCACTTCTCAAATATATCACATTTTAATGATTTCGTTAAGATAAATTAAATTTCGCAACATTATCATCATTACTATACATTATCATTACTGTTATCACCATCATCATCATTATCATCATCCATTGATATGTAATCGTAGCGTTCGTTTGTCATCTTCGGCGACATTTATCATCGATCATTAGAAATTGCCACCATTTCGTGTCTCTTTTGTCATCCATTCATTCATTCATTTATTCATTCATTCATTTCATTTCATTCATTCCATCCCTAATCTTTACTTTTCTTCCTTTTTACTTTTTCCCATTTCATTCGTTCTTCGTTCTTCCTTCTCTTTTCCTCCTTCTTCAATTTCATCGAATATTTTTACGACTTATTATTCTCATTATCATTATCATTATTATAATCGTTATTATCATTTCATTATCAGTCTATGACAATATTTTCGGTTACTTTCAATCAGTAACTTATTTTTTTAACTTTTTTTTAAAAGTATTACTACTACTGCTACTGCTACTACCACTATTATTGCGTAATAAAATTGTTACGATTGAGTTGTTAAATAGCATTGCTGTAGTAGTGATGACGATGATGGTATTGATGGAGGCGGTGTTTGTGATTAATAATTAGCTAAGAAGGCGGTATTGGCACGAATGACGATCATTTCTTACTACAATATTTATGGCGCAACAACACAAGCGACAGCTGCAACAACAACAACAACAGCAACAATTAATCACTATAATCTGCATATTATTGATAAGTTTAAATCAGATAGTAATAACAGTAGCTGATAATAATATATCATACAATGTTAATGATATTGTTTACGATAACAATAGCAGCCACAATAACAACAACAACAACATTGTCAATATTAATTATGTTGCTAATGAGCGTTATTCGGTTCTACGATTACGTACCACTGATCTCAATCAATTCTTATCTGTAAAAAAATTGATCGATTCATCTGTTGATCTCAAAGTAAGTATATCTTTTTTTTTTTTTTTTAAACTAGACCTATACTAAAATTTTACTTCCTTTTTTCACTCCCTAAAAAATAAAAAAAGAAAAAAAAATAAGAATGAGGAAAAATTAAATAAACAGATTAAGAAATTTCATAAGCTTATAATATAGCAAAAAAAAAGTGGAGAAGACATCACAATTGGTAAAGTTTGAAAAACTAAAAATTCGAAATTAATTTTAAATTGGATAAATTTCAACTTTATTTATAGATTAAAATTCTATTTTCATGTGTAATAAAAAAAAAAAAAAAAAACTGTTGATAAATTAAAAATTACATTTTACGATGTTCTATGAATTATTAAATCAATTTATCAATAGAAATAAAAAATTTTAGAACATTTCAAAAATTTGATATTAGCAATTTCATTTCATTGATTATTTGGCTTAGAGAAAGCTAGAAGCACTAATTTGCATAATTTCACCATTATTCCTATTTATTCGTCCAATAATTTAATAATATAAATAAGCAATTTTCATCGCATAAATGAAATTTAATAAATATTTATTTGTGAATAAATATTTATTTTTTTTTAAATTATTAATAATTTTTAATTATTCTAAATTATATAAATAATTTTTAATTGTTCTAAAACATTCCGACAATTTATGCTATCTGTTTGGAATAACATAATAAATTGTAAGTATAAGTTGAATAATTAGTCAAACAAATGAAATGATAACTCTGATGGGACACTTTAACATATTTAAGTATTACTTTGGAAATTTTCCTGTTTAATTCATCTTTGGAAAATTTTTCATTCATTTCATTCTTTAGAGTCGCTGAATTAATTTTTTCTTTGCTAAAGAATTTTTACTAAATAATCTATTTATTAAATAATTATTATATAATTGAAAAAAAAAAAAACTATTGCTTGTTATATTTTTGAGAATTTCGCTTATTAAATAATTGAGAAATATATCATTTACTGCATTCTAATATTGATATAATAGCAGTAAAGTAACTTTCACCTGAAATAATAGTTCCTAAATTCGATATACTTTTATTTATTAAATCGATTTGAAATTTTTTGGTTACCACACATTATCTATTATTATATCTTAAAATGTAATAAAAAATAAAAAAGATTCTAATCATTTATTTAAATAATATTTTTATTGCTAATGAATAGTATTTATTTGCCAAATAAAATTTTCGACTAAAATTTAGATTACTCAAAATATTTGAAAAAAAAAAAAAAAAAAAAAAAAATCAAATTTGATTAAATTTCATAACCAATGATTAATAGGATGTTCAGACAAGCAAATTTCTTATTATTTATTTATTCGATTATTTTTTTGCTTACATTTCTCTTTTATGGTGAAGTAATGTAAATTTTGGTAATTTAAAAAAAATTTTTGATTTTTTTTTTTGAAGAAATTATGGGTTAAGAAAATTAGATAGCAATTAGAAAAAAAAACATTGACAAAAAGAAAGAAAAGAGAAAATGAACTTTCATTTTGAAATTTATTTCCTTGCATTAAAAAAAAAAAAGAAATCTCAAATTTGTTTTCATTTATTCCCTTTCATTTTATCTTTCAAATTTGTATGTATTTTTTCAAATTTTTATTTGTGTCACAATCATTAAATTTTTTCCGTAAAAAATTTTCATTTTTTTTTTTTTTTTCTATAATTTGGTCAAATTTCCATTGTTTGTTCCTTTTTTCTTCCTTTTTTTTTTTCATTTCTTTCTCTTTTTTGTTCTTTTAACAAAATATTTTTTATTAATTTTAATTTGCTGTTATCCTTTGGATTTCATTTTTAGTTTAGTTATTTATTTTCTTTTTAAAATTCACTTTTTTTTGAATGCATTTTTCCTTCAGTTTACATTTCCATTCCATTTTATCATATTTAATTTCATTAATTTTAGCCTATTTCATTTGACAAATTTGATAACATTTTTTGATTTTATTTCTATTTTCATTCAGTGTATTTAATAAACAAAAATAAATATGAACAAAAACATAATAATAAACAAAAATAAATATGAACGAGAAATAATGATAAAAAATGATAATAAACAAAAATAATTGAAAAAAAAATAAATATGTAAATAAATGTAATAAAATATATGTGTTTCTTTCATTTTTCTTTTTTTTTTTGTTTGTTTTAAAAATTATTTTATACTAATCTAACTTATTGGTTGCTGATATTTTGATTACACTTTTAATTATATTGAAGAATTAAACTTCGCTAACACTGTTGATAGTTTGCAGTTTGCAGCGTGAATGACGTACGTCATTATTTCCATTAACTTTATGATCATTCCGAAAAAGCTTCGACAACAGAAAATCAAAATAAAATTAATTACAAAAATTGTCACTCAATTGAAAATATGATTTATAATATTTTATTCTTTCTCCCATACAAGAATAAAAGAAAAAAAAAAGACAATCAATTAAGAAATAATAAACTATTTAAAAATTGACATGCATAATATTTCAAATTTAATTTGATCAGAAATTAAATTATCAATCATTAATGATAAGATATTAGACATATTATGAAAATTTTGAAAAAAAACTGAAGTGAATTTATTTGCTAACAAAAAAGCAAAATAAAATGAAAAAGAGAAAAGGAAGAAATATAGATGTGAAATGAAAAAAAAAAAAAAAGTAATATTATTACATAAAAATTAAGTAATATAATTAAATCAAAATTAATTAAATAAAAATTAAATTAATATGCAAATTTTTAGGTAAATTTTTGGAAAATAGCACGAAATATACATGATGTAACTGACGTGATGGTACCAGCAAGTACGATGAAAAAAGTTTTGCATTTATTAAATGACGGAAATGTTAATGTAACTGTTACTATTCCGGATGTTGAACGGTTATTTTTTTTTTTTCAATTCCTTTTTGCGTTTTTTTTTTTTCTGGATATTACGAACAAAATTAATTAATTATCAAAAAACTCGTTTTCTACTTTCCAAAAAAAATTTTTTCTTTTTTTGTTTTTTAAATTTGTTTGTCTTTTCTTTCTTTTTTAAATGTATTTTCCACTACTTCGAGCGTAATTTTTTGAATCAGTTTTTTTGGTTCGTTCAAATTTGAAAGTGCAGAAGTGACAAATTATCAGAAGTGATAAATTATTTGAAATTTTGTTTGGACTTGAAAAGTATGGAAAAATAGAAACAAACAAACAAGCATTTCAATTTAAATTTAAAGTTGATAATCAACTTTTAATTGATAGTACTTTTTAAAGATTATTTAAAAATTAAATAATTAATTATAATAATAATAAGCTTAATATGAATAAAAAAAGCTATTAAACTATTATTAATTATTAGTAATGGTACTATTGAAAAACCGAATATTACAATAAAGTACAAAATAATTTATTAATTTTTAAAATTTTTTCATTTTTGATCGTATCTATTTATTTTTATTATTTTTTTCTTTTTCTATTTTTTTTAAAAATATTTTCAAATTTTTGTTATCTTTCTAATCTCATTAAAAATTGCTTATTTCTTATTTAATCATTAATGTAAATTGAAATGTTCAAAAATTACTTGCCATTAAATTTATTATCATTTATCATTTATTTATCTATCAATAATATTTATCTCATTGATCACAGTCAATTTATTCAATTAAAATTTTCTCATTCATTTATCTTTCATTTTTTTTTCTTTAACAAACAAAAGAAAAAAAAAAAAGAGCAAAATTTTTGAAAAGAAAAAAGGAAAATATAAAAGTTAAAAATGATGCATTCAAAATAATATGATTTAACGAAAAAAATTTATTTTCTTCTTCTTTTTTCTTGATAAAAATAAAAAATAAAAACTTGTTTTTGGTTTGTTTTTTTAATAAATTATATTAATAACAAGTCAACTTTAAAAATGATTGCATTATGTGTAACTAATAGTGATAAGTGATAAATGATAAATTGATATTGACAAATGATAAATGATAAATAGTGAATGAATTGGTAATGATAAATATGAGGAATGAAAGAAAAAAATGTGTACGAATTTATTAAATTAAAAGGTACTGAATGTAAAACATTGTTTTAAAAAAAAAAATTTAATGATGCTTGATAATAATGATAAGGAATATTTTTGTAAATAATAATAAAAGCTGAAAAAGAATATTTTAATAATTAATAATTAATTTTGAAAAAAAAAAATTGTGTGAATTATACGAAATTTTTTTGTTTTTTTTTTCTTTTTTTTTGCTTCAAAATTTGTAGCGTTTTAATAAAATTGATTAAAAATACTAAATGTAAAATATTGTTTATAAATAAAAAAAAGAATATTTACATTCTTTATTTACCAAATTTATATAATTATGAATTATTCATATTATTTCTAATCCAATAAGTAATATAATGTGTATATTTTGTTTTGTTTTTTAATTTTTTCATCAAAAAAAAATTTTCTTTTTAATTTTTTTTTTCTACCTTTTACATAAAGAATTTTTTCCATTTTTTGATTTTTGATCATTCAGATACTTGCATTTTAAAATTATAAAAGTTTTCATTATTATTATTATTATTATTATTATTATTATTATTATTATTATTATTATTATTATTACAGATTAATTATAAAACGGGAGAAAAAAAATGGTACATCTGAGCTGCAACAACGTTATCGAGATGATTCCGGTTCAATATCAGGAAGATCAACTACCGAATTTAGCAAATATGATTTTTATTCATACGGTTCATATAAGGAAATGATGAAATGGTTACGATCATTAGCCAGAAAATATCCGGAATTTGTACGGAATATATCAATTGGAAAATCGCATGAAAAACGTAGCATTGATGGTTTAGAGGTTGGTGATAAATAAATAATTTTCCGGTTGTAACAATTTTTTCTTTTCATTGTTTACAAAAAATTTTCTAATCGAAAAGTCCCACCAGTATAAAAAAAAAGGAAAATCTTAAATAATAAAACTGTAATTTGTTTGATTTGCTTCCGTTATATCTCTCCGGCTTCCGGTATATCTAGATAAAACATACTAATTAAAAATCGATTAATGCACTTTTTTTTCTATTTTTTTAAAAAATTTTCCTTCCTAATTTTTTTATTTATCTCTCGCAGTTATTCTTCAATTATTTGACAATTTGTTTATTATTTTTATCATTGTTATTCTTTTGTTTTATTTTTTTTTTCTATTGCTCATAAATTTTATAAATTTAATATGCAAAATTTGGAACAATTTATATATTTAGAAAAATAACTTGCTTTAAATTTGACACTGTATTGAAAATTTATTTGAAAGCATAAGTGATTGATACCAAAATTAATTAACAATAAAATTTGTAAATTCAAACTATCAATTAATTAAAATTTTAGGATAATAAAAATAAGTGCTTAATAATTCGAGAAAAATAAAAATGACAAAGTATCCAAAAAAATTCTTTTTTCATTTAATAGCAACAAAACATTCATTTCTTTTAAATCCAATATAATTTTGTTTGATAAACAAAAAACAAAACAAAACACTGATAAGATTAAAATTAATTAACAACAAATTTATTTATTTAAATTGTAAGCTTAATTTGATTTTTAATAAATTGATCAGAACAAGAAAAAAAATGTCATAAAAAATTCAATTTTTCATTTTCATAAAATTTCTTTACTTCAATTTAGTTTTTTTTTTCTCTCTCTCTCTCTCTCTCCCTTTTTTGTTTTTTTTTTGTTTTTTATTTCTTTTTATATCTTCGCTTAAATTGCACCAATATATTCCTTTTCTCTTTTCATCCTGTCTGTCAAAATAACCGGTAGCTATGAACGGTACAATCGGATTCATTCATCCGGTTTTTTCTTTTTTTTTTCTTTTCAACCATATCATTTGTTCACTATCAATAATTTATCATTCCATTTTCAAATTTAGCAAATATGCATTTAAATTTTTAAAAATCTCATTAAAGAATAAAAAAAGAGAAAAATTTTGTAGGATAACATTAATACAAAAAAAAAAAAAAGAATAAAACCGTAAAAAATTTAAGCAAAACCTGATCTAACATTTAATAATCACATTTGATTTGTAAATGTAAAATGAAAAATTTAAAGAAATCAAAAAGAGGAATAGAAAATAGAATTAATGAAATAAATAATTTTAGAAACGACCATGAAATGGAATTTAAATGATGAAAAAACTACAAAAAAGTCAAAAAATAGATTAAAAATAGTGAAATAATTTTAGAAGAAACAAAAAATGGAAATTGAATAATTAAAATAATTTTAGAAATATCAACAAAATGGAATAAAAAAAAGTGAATAATTTTAGAAAAAACGAATAAAAATAATAAAATAATTTTACCAATTTTTTTTAGATACATTAATTATATATAAGAATGTATATAATTCTATTTGTGTATTTTTTTAAAAAAACGAGAAAAAAAGAAAGAAAAAAATAATTTTATGACTTTTAATAAATGTAAAATTATAAAAACAAAAGTTAAAAAAATTCTGTAACAAAAGGAAAAAAGGAAACTAATCGAATATGCTATTATTATTATTATTATTATTATTATTATTATTATTATTATTATTATTATTACTGATATTGTTAAGTATCATTCGGTGAAAATCAAACATTAATAAAAAAATAAAATAGAAATGACTTAGGCAATTGAAGTCATTAAAGTGTGAAGAAAGGAAAAAATATTAAATTCAAGATTTCGTTGCCAATTTTATTTAAGTGCAAAAAAATGCTTGACAAAAAAATTTCTTTCAAATGTAACCAAACATTTTTTATTTCTAAAATTATTAGTTATTATTTTTCTTGCTTTTTTTTGTTTGAATCTTGCAAGCTTATTTTAGTATTTTAAAATAATATTTTTTCAAATTTTTAATTTAATTTAAACGAAACAAAATCACTTTGATAGTGTATTATTTGCTGATTAATTTGCCTTTTTTTTTTTTCTATAATTTCATCAACTTACTCCATTACTATTACTTATTTTATCCTACAATTTTACTATCATTACTTTCACATTTACTACATTACTTGTTTCATTTTAATTTTGAAATTTTCATCATCAAGTTTTATTCAGCGAATTTACAACAAAAGTAGTAGCAAAGTGTTTCATGTTAAATATGATAATTAGCAATTTTTTAATGACAATAAAGATGACAATAATATTAATAATAGTAATAATAATAATAATGACAACAATAATAATAATGACAACCATAATAATAATGACAATAATAATAATAACAGTAACAATAATAATAAAAATAATAATAATAATGAAACAATAATATTTACAATAGTAATAAGAACATTAATATTATTAATACCAAGCATAATAATATCAATAATAATAAAAATAATAATGATATTCATATTAATAATAACAATAATAATAATAAATTTCTTATTTTTCTATTTCAATCTTACATATTATGTTTAATTAATTTAAACAAATATTATTATGCAATTACAGATTGGTGGAAACAATCAATCCAAGCGTGTATTCTGGATTGATGGCGGTATTCACGCACGTGAATGGGCTGCGCCACATACGGCCTTATATTTCATTCATCAATTAACATCAAAATATGGACATGATAAACAAATTACAAAATATGTTGACGAATTAACTTGGGTTATTGTACCATGCTTAAATCCTGATGGATATGAATTTACACGTTCGTCAACTAATCCAAATGTTAGTATTTAAAGAAAAAAAAAAAAAAAAAACTGATTTATGATTTTTAATTATTTATTAATTCGAATATTAATTGCAAAAAAAAAAAAAAAAGAAATAGAATTTTGAATTTAACTCAATTCTTTACTATTTCTATTATTTTCTTAATAATATAAAAAATCATTGAAAAGAAAAAAGCCGAAAAGAGACAAATGTAATGTTATCATTTTATATTAAATAATTTATCATAAAGAATTAAATTACATTAAATACGTTTAATCGATTTTGAATATTGCATATCTTACTTTTCTTACTCCAGATATGATAACAAGTTAAATAATAAAAAAAGAAATTAACAGTGCAAAAAAAAGAACAATTTAAAATTTTAAAACACTAAAAATTATGGAAATTTTATTTGTCAAAAAAAGTGATTTTTAAAATTTATTTTTCTAGATTCGATTATGGCGTAAAAATCGTTCCTCATTTGTCTGTGAGAAAGATCAGTGGGGACGTAATCGCTGTTGTCGTGGTGTTGATTTAAATCGAAATTTTGATTTTCATTTCAAAGGTAATAACATAATTTATAAATTACAATTTTTTGTTTTAATGAGTTTTTTTTTTTTGAAATTTAAAAAATTTAATAAAACTTAAAAATGTAAAAAAAAATGCTAATTTCATTTCTTTTTTTTTTATCTAATCAATGTGTCTTAATTTTTATGTTCTCATTAAAAAAAAAAAAGAGAAAGAAAAGCATGTTATGTAATGATTTTATTGATGAAAGTATGAAATATTAGTAATTGGAATTAAATTTAGTAATTGTAAAATTTTAATTTTAAAATATTACAAATTCTAGAAAGCGGTTCAAGTGATGATCCATGCGCTGAAATTTATCAAGGCAAAGCACCTTTTAGTGAACCAGAAACACGGTTTGCTTATTTATTATTTTATCATTTTATTCATTTGTATTATCGCTAAATTATTTTTAACTTTCTTTTAGAAATTAAAATTTCATTTTTAAAACATTTTTATTAATATTTAAAAATTGTTTTTTCTTCCATTTTTTTTTTTTCAACTTTTTTGAATTTACAGCATATCAAATAATTAAAATTACAAAAAATGAAAATAAGAATGTAAAATGTTAATGATTTTAAATATCATATCAAAAGATTTTAAATATCATATCAAACTACCTATAGAAATTATTATCTGTGATAATTGATACCACTATAAAAACCAAAAGATAAAGTTTAAAAAATCAAAAGAAAAAAAGAAAATTTCTTTTTTCGTAATTTTAATTTTACCTTTATATACAGTAATTTACTTACCTGTTTCTCTTGCATATATTTATGTTTTGCATATATGTGATTTAAGGATAGTTATATTTTAGTCTATCAGTTATTGATTAATTTTTTCCTTGAACTTCATTTATTTCACTTATAATTTCATTATTTGTATTCACCTATTAAAAATAGATTAATTAGTAAAACCCTTATTTACATATTTTACTTACCTATTCCTCTTCCATATATATATATTATATATATATATTTTTTTCTTGCTATTACTTTTCTTTTTTTTTTTTGTTCGAATTATTTATTCATCTATTAACAAAAAAGATAATTGCATTTTATTTTATCATTTATTTATCTATCAATTTTTACTTTTTTCTTTTTTTTTTGTTCGATTTCCATTTATTTCAATTATTACATTTATTTATTAATTTCATTATTTGCATTCATTTATTAAAAAATAGATTAATTAGTAATTAATTTCTCTTTTTTAAATATTATTTTTGTTTTTTTGTTTATTTTTTGAGAGCAGTACGTGATGCAATAATGTCAAATCGTTATCGTGGACGTATCGATGCATTTATAACATTGCATACTTATTCACAACTTTGGATTCATCCGTATGGTCATCGTAAGGATACATATCCTGGTGATATACAAGATTTAGTTAGCATTTATTATAAATTTTTAAATTTTACTAAAATTTTTAAATTAGATTAATTAGCAATAATAAATATATTTTTTCCAATAATATAAATTATTATTTCATTTTTATTCCTTCTTTTTCTTATTCAAATTAATCATTGTTGTTAAATTTTTATTGATATAAACAAAAACATAAACAAATTAATTGTATTTTTAAATAAGATTAATTAATTAATAGTAACAAATATATTTTTTCCAATAAAATAAAATAATTATTTCATTTCTATTCCTTTTCACCATTTCTGTTTTTCTTACTATAATCAATAAAATTTTTATTTTAATTTTCAGAAAACTTTTATTTAGTAACACTAACAATGTGTGTATATAGTTGATAATTTTGAATGTTTTTGAAAAATTTTTTTATTAAATATAACTTTATCAAAAAGACATACATAAATGAATTTAATTACAGATTTTATTAATTATTTTGAAAGAAATTAAAATGTTAAAAAGTTAAATTATTATTAATTTTTGTGTAATTAATTGTTATTATTGAAGTATAAAGTTGGTAAGAATGCAACAGATGCACTTAGCAAACTTTATGGTACAAAATATATTGTTGGCAGTGGAGCTGATACATTGTGTTAGCTTATTTTTTTGTTTTCATTCAATTAATAAACAAACAAACATTTTCATTAAAAAAAAAAAAAAAAAAAAAAAACAAAAATTTGTTAAATTCTGTTTAATTTTTGAATTTATTTAGTTCTATGAATTTATTACTATAATTAAAAATTTTTTTTTGCCTAATTTTTCTTTTTTAACTTTTTTTTTTTCATTTGAAAACAATAAATTAATTATATAATATTTTATTTGTTGAATAGATAAATTTATGATTAGATCCAGCATCTGGTGGCTCTGAAGATTGGGCAAAACAAACAGCAGGCATAAAATATGTTTACTTATTGGAATTACGACCCGATGAAAAAAGTATGCTTTGTTGTTTGTTAAATTTTGTAATAATAATGTTAAAGTAAAATTTTAAAATTATAAATATCAAAATAATCATCATTAAATAATTTTGTAATTACTTAATGATTAATTCACTTACCATTTAATCATTCATCAAAAGTAATCTTAAAAAAAATGAGAGAATAAATAAAAAACATGAGTAATAATTAATTAAATTAATTTATAAATGCAATATTTCTAGATAATATATTATTAGTAAATTAAAATATATATATATGTACGACACATTTATTAATTTTTAAAATTTAAAAATTTTAAAGGAAAAGAAAAAAATCTTTTCATTTTTTTAATTATATCATTTCTTTTTATGAAAAATAAACGATAAGTAATGAAATAAATTTACAAATACAATATTTTTAGATACAAAATTATCATTAATTAGCAGAAAAATTTAAACTATTATTAATTAAACTATTAATCAATAGTTTTTAATTGCACTGAAGCGTTTTTTATTATTTTTTTTTTGACACTGATAAAGATTTAAATTTAAAGATTGGGATGGATTTATTCTCGATGAACGACAATTAATACCAACAGCAACTGAGACATGGGCAGGTATACGGGTAGTTGCTGATGCAGTAATCGAACGAGCAAATCGTAAAGCTATCAGAACTAATGGTACTAAAAGAATTTCCAAAATTTCAACTTATTATTATGCTAGAAATGAGTAATTTGAAATTATCATATTGTTTTATATGTAAAATATATAATAAATATAACATTTGATATGTGTAATACATTTATTTTTTTTTTAATTTATAAATTTCAGATAAAAAAGAAATTTTTGTTTTTTCAATTTTTTCATTTTAATATAAAAAATAATATGCATTTTATATGACATGTATGACACATTTATTTTTAAAATTTAAAAATTTTAAGGAAAAAGAGAAAAAAATCTTTTCATTTTTTTAAATTATATCATTTCTTTTTATGAAGGATAAACGATAAAATCCAAGGAAATAAAATTTTTTGAAAAGAAAAAGAAACCATGCATATAATTTTTTTTTTAAAAAGAGAAAGAACAGAGAGAATGGAAAGAATTGAAAATTAGATTTAATTATTTCATAACGAACAAATCAATTTTCAAAAAGAAAAAAAAATTAAAAGATAAAAATAAATAAATTGTCAATACTTTTTACTTGGAATCCAAGAAAAAAAAAAAAGATTAAATCAAATGGAATTTAGTTTAAAAATTCATCAATTCTTGTTAATCGATGAATTTTCAAATAATTCCTTATTGCATATTTTTTTTTTCATTTTTATTATTCATCGTTTTTTCATTTACTCAATGTATCTAAGAAAAAAATAAAAAATAAGAAAACAAAAATTTCACATCAATGAGGAAAAAGAAAAAATAATATTAACATATCATAAAAATGTATATTATTTTATTTTATGAATTAATTCCATTTCATTTCGAATTATTCTTTCATCTTTTTAATGTTTAAATTATTTACGCTGTGTATATTTACTACCATTTTATCAATTTAAAAGAAATAAATTGATTTCAAACAACATACGTAATATCACCTAATACTTTATTATTATTATGTATTACTATTACCACCATTATTATTATTGTTATTATTATTTACTGTTATTATTGCTATTATTATTATTATTATTATTATTTATTATTCTTATTGTTATTACTACTACTATTACTATTGTTTATTACTATTATTCATTATTGTCATCATTGCTACTATCATTACCACTATTATTACTATTATTATTACTGTTCATTATTATTATTTACTATTACTGTTATTATTACTATTATCATTATTATTACTATTATTATTATTGTTGCTAATATAATATCTATACGCCATGTTCCTGTTCGAACTCATTCCGAAAAAGAAAGAAAGGATATAATAAACCAAGAAAAAAGAGATACTTTGAAGTGATACAACTAACAGTAAAAGCAAAAATAAAAAGAGTAAAAATGAATTGTTAAACAAAAAAAATTTTTTTTTCTATTTTCCTATTTCTATTGGTTAATTTCAATGCTTACTAATTTTTTTTTTCATATTTCTTTTCCTTTTCTTCATTTTTTTCTCTTTCAAAATTTTTTTAATACTAATATTTAGTAAAACCTTTGCTTTTCCTACATTTTATTAAAAATTTTTTTCTCTTTTTTCTTTTCTTTTTTTTTTAGACACTATCAAGCAAGAATATCGTTTTGGTAATGGCAGTGCTGGTTCATGTTACGATTTACGTCATGCATGTAAACGATGGGTTCAGGAAAAAGAATCAATTTGTAAAACGGTACCAATTTTTATGCGAGAACAATGCGCCTATTCATGTGGTCATTGTTAATCAATAAAACTGAAATAAGCTTAATTAATAAACTCTTTTAAAATATGAAAATAAACAATTTTGCTTTTTGATACAATTGCTATAGCTCCTTTTTTTATACTTTAAATTGGATAATATTCTAGTGAAAGTAATGCACTGCTTCTATAGCTATTGCTAAACCAGGCTTAATTAATAAGTTTAATTCGAGAGAACAAAAATTTATCGAATAGACCTAATTTCATAATTACATTTTTATACACTAAATTGCGGTACACTAAATCAGTATCATACAATATATTCAAACATTTCACTAAGAAAAAGTAAGAGTATGTTAATAAAGGAATTATATTAAGCAATTTTTGATCGAACTTTTTCTTCATTGATCAAATTTGTTTAATTTTTTCTTTATCGATCAGACTAAACATTAACGATCACACAAGGCTTTAACAGTAGTAGGCTCCATCAATTTTGGATGTACAGAACGATGTACAGCTGATGAAACAATTTCATCGATTATCGAAAGCGCAATTTGTTCGTCTGACAAATAGCGCCATAAATTCTGCCGTAAAAAGCAACAATCCACCTGCCAATTATCCATATTTTAATTTCATATGCAATATAAATAAAATGTGTCAAATTTAAAAATATTTTTCTCTGATCATGCACACGTCAAAATACATACTAATTTGTTATTTAAAAGAAATAAAATTTTTTATAAAAAACAAAAAAAAAAAAACCTGAATTTGTTGTAAACCAAATGCAGAAAATGTTTGTAGTCGAACGCATTCAAGGAAACATTTCAAAGCAACATTTATAATGGCAGTCAAGATTGATATACTATTGAACTGCAAATTGAAGGTATTAAAAAACAATTAATAACCACATGAAAATTCTCTGAATATGTGAAATTAAAAATTGTTTACTGATAATACACAATAATGCAAAGTAATTAGATACTTTAGAAGGAATCAAATACTTTTGTTGGCTTTCAGATTAATGTGATTGATGATAAATATTTTTATTAAAAATCTTCATGTTTCATTTTAAAAGTTAACTTTCTACTATCTTTCCACACTTTTGTCCTATTTTACTCATTCATATATGCATAATTATCCTAATTTTTATAAAATTTAGGGTAACAAAAATTCTATTATCAAAAAAAAAAAACACGCACTTCTACATTTGTACAAAAATCTATCCTTTCAGACCATAATTTATCCAGTGTTGAGCTGATTGAACATGTATCCAATGTTTGCCTTGAATGTGATCGAGATGAACTGTTTTCTAACAATCGTTCTTTACGAGTACCTTCATCCATCTGAGAGAAAATTTTGAAAATTTCTTGAAATTACTAGAATTAATTCAAAAACCGCGTATTAAACACGACAACATGTTAGCCAACAAAGTTTTAAACCAATTATTTAATTCAATCGATATCTATTTATGTTCCTAGCAAATTTTTTTCTTTTTTCAAAATCGTTTTAACGAAATTTAAAGAAAAACGAACAAAAAAAAAAAAAAAAAAAAAAAACAAAACAAAGACGAACTAAAGCATAACAAATAGAAAAAAATTTTTTGTAAGCGGAAAACAAACACTCCTATTTTTGTATGATGATGATTAAAAATTTAATTTAAAAGGTCAACACGTATCCGTAAAAATAGCACTATTGCATTCCGGATAAGTTATTTATGAATATTGCTCGATTACATTTACAACATTCCATTATTTATTCTTTGGACTAATAAAGATTTAGTAAAACGATTACGTCATATTCCAACATTATCATCGATGGTTTGATAATTTCTTACAATATAATTAAATGTTTATATGAGTATTTTGTAAAATACTTACAAAAACTTTAATAGATGAATCGATGGAAGCTAAATTATTGATAAAATACTTTACAGCTGATCGCACTGCTGTTGGTTCGGCATAACTTATCCAATCTTGAGATTCTATACTACGTATTAAAACCTTAAAAACAAAATATAAAGGATACAGAACCATAACAAAATGAATTCTAATCTTTCAATGTAGGGAAAAAAATAGAGAAATATAAAAGTGATAAATACATTGTCAGTAATCATGTAAATATCATAAAATGAATACGTATACTTCGATTAGTAAAAGCCTTTTCTCCAACAATGCTCACTTAAGCTTAAAATTATGAAAATATTAGATTTGATGGATATAAGTAAGCATCATCAAAGAATATGTTGTTAATTTAAAGAATGAAATTCAACTATGTAAAGTCGAAAGTTTTTTTTTTTTTTTTTTTTATGATCGTGAAAATGTAAATAGAAGAATAATTTCTAGAAAACAGATTTAGAAGAATGACTCGCTAGATCTTCCGGAGATATTCCACTAAAAAAAGAACATAGACAGTTTAATACGCTTTCATATTTCTTCCATACACTATACCTAACACAGCACATAAAATTTTTAAACTCTTAACATACCTCAGAAGTATAAATTCCTTGAAAGTATACATAGTATTTCAGAAGTTCATAAGCAGTTGTACGTAAGCGAACCTTAACATTCTCAACCGAACTTAATCGAGAATTTTTTCCTCTTTCTCGTTCTGTTACCAATCTAAAAATAAGTTCCTTTTCATTTCTTAATTATTTTTGTTAAAGCATTAATTAAAGGTGATAAGCTCAACAACTAACGTCGAAAATGATTTTTTTCTTTAGATTTTTTTGACTTCAATGTATCCAAGAATAGTTTAGTAATCACAGATGAACAGTATTCGATAAAAGATCATATATTTTAAGCTCTTCATCTTAAAATAGCTTTTCATTTATTTTATTTTGCACTTCAATTTAAATACGAGAAAATATATCAGACTGATAGTATGACAAATGAATCATTACTGAGGATGATATCAGCAGAAAATATGCATTATAAACTATAAGTCAATGTGGCCAATTACTTGAATAATGAATTTCAGTGCTGTTTTAATTGGGGAGAAAAGTAAGAGAAAAAAGACTAGGAAAAGAAGTTAAGTAAAAATCAAAATATGAAATTTAGGGAACCTGAATTGCTCTTGGCATAAATTCATAATATCAACCACCGAATGATTTTCGATATTGGTGAAAAATTGTGCTAAAACGTAATAAAAAACGGGTAATGATGGTGTCGCTTGACTCATAGCATCACAGAATTTCAGACCTAATTGAGCAATTTCATCCAAAGATTTTACAACCAATAATTCGTGAACATCAATACCAAAAAGGAGTGAAAATCGATCTGAAAATACAAATACGAATTATGAAAAATTCATAGAACTTGAAACATTCCCACCAACGATCAAATATATAAATTGCCAAATAAAACTTAATATTCGCGATTAATCGATAACAAACAAATTTCAGCCTAATCAGAATATAGAATGAATTAAATGCTCATTTAAATAAGAAGAAACAGTGTAGCAAATGTTTAAATAATTCTCAGATAGGAATTTCTTTGAATATAATTAGAATTAATGAGTTTTTTTTAAATTCAAGGAAAGGACTCTCTGCATGATACCATCTAGGCCTTAAATTTAGTAACAAGACGTATTATTATATTCAAATGTTTAAAGAAGTATTAATTTTAATTGCATCTGAAGAAATCCCTATCTGAGAACTAATTCAATATTTGCTACCCTGTGTCGTTTTTTTTTTTTTTTTTTTTTTTCACTTCTGATGCATTATGAAAAAATAAAGGTTAAAAAAATATATTGATTTGCAACCAGAAACAAAAAAGAAAAATACCTTGATAAAGTGATGAAAATGTCGTATCAGAAGCGGTGAAAAAAAGTAAAGATGCTAGAGCCGTTCTTATTTGAACAAGAAAGAAATGTTCCAAACGTGAAACTATATCACTTAACACCGATGTATTCGAAAAAGATGTTTCCGATGAAGTTAGTTCATCTTGAATCTAAAATGCTCTTATGTTACAAATAATGTTTTCTTCTTATTTGAGAATGTAGAATGTAATGAATCTAAATTAATATTTATGGAAAAAAAAAGAATGAAATTAAACCTGTTGCAAGGATGATCCAATATGTTCCACAACTTGACGTTGTGCAAATTCTATTTCATGCCTTGAAACGATTTTTAACATGGAAATATCTAGTGGAAAATAAACAGTGCCTTAAAAAAAAAGAAAAAATTTGTGAACCAAAGTATAAATTCATTACATTCCTTTAAATATTTTCTGTAAAAAGCTAAAATAATATCCATACTTATTTTTTATTGTTATAAGATGAAAGAAGTACAAGATTTGAGCAATATTAAAACTGCTAAAAAAAATTAGAAATAAAAAGCAGTTCAGAATTAACCTAGTATAAGCTCACACGATGACATATAACGATAAAAATGATCAAGTGCCTTTACAACAATAGCACATTCGGCAGCATCCGTTTCTTCCAAAAAACGCATTCTGACAATTTCTTCAAACTGATTCATTAATGAATCCATTAATTGAATTAAACTATCCATTGCCTAAAACAGAAATTATTTGTTTTGTTTTTTCAATTCATTAAAATATCAATGTTTTTTTTTTTGAACACAAAAAATTTTTGGAAGCACATTTTCTCAACATTCATGCTTTTGTTGTCAAACTATTTCATTTTAAAAATATGATTAACGATGAGTTTTATCGTAGTATGAAAAGCACAAAGATTTGAAACATATATTTCAACCTCATTCGAAAAAAAACGCTGACTTATTGTTGTGATCAATGAAACATCGGTTAAAAAGGTTCTACAATAATTATCCACGAAAACCAGAACATCTGTTGCATTCTAAAATAAACATCAAAATAGAACTTCCACAAATTTTAGATATATGAAGAAAAAACGTGCTATATGTATTGAGCATAAATTAATTTTCTTAAATCAATTTCTTATGGACCTGTTTCGGCGTTCGCATTGCTGTAAGCTGATCAGTTAAATTACGCTTGCAATTTTCAAGAAAATTATTGTAAACAGTTGATGACTGGACGCCTAACTTCAGGAGTAAATTTATGGCTTCCGAAAGCTCATCAGATGAAATGAGACAATCAAAGACGACTTGCTTCAGCTAAAAAAAAAAAAAAGTAGACTATAAAAATAATTAGTAAGGTATATTAAAATGATGTACATAATTTAGTGATTGGCAAGAATAGAATTAAAAGAAGGATATAAATTTGCTGAAAAAAAATGACTAAATATATTATATTCCCAGATATCATCTTGTTTAATCAAAATCCTATCACCGTAAAAAAAAATTTCCCAATCCTGAATAAATCATTTTATTTAATCCCCAAAATATCAATTCATATAACTTTTCATGAACAAATACGAACATTTCCAAAATCTGAAATTGTAAGTGAAATATGCTTAACCTGTTCCTCAACTGTCTCCATTATAGTAATTGCTTCACTATATATATCAGAAATTGAAGCTATATCATTGTAGAGTAAAAGAGATGGTTGTGCCTTTAAATAAATTTGCACTGCTTCTTCATAATTCTTCTGCTCGACCAATGCCTAGTAAATAAAAACTTCATATTTTTCGTGAGCAGGTTTAAGCATTAGATGAAATATTTATGAAAATCGAAGAGAAACCTCTAAATGACTCACTCGTAACTTTTGTGGTAAGGATAACAAAAATTGCAATTCTTCCACTTTTTTATTAGCTTCAGAGAGCTGTGAGACATTTGTACGATGTTTGCTGAATGCTGCAGAAAAATCTTTCGACAATGCCGCTATTTTACCCATTCGTTTTGATAAAATCTCCATTTTCTAAAGGAAATTTACAAGTGAATAAATGTAAACATTATATTAAAAAAGTTGAAACCTCTTTTGTTAAAAAAAAAAAGACTCCACACCATATTTCCATAAAAACAAAGGAGAATTCAAAGCTACCAACATGTGCAGTAGATCATGCAGCCATAGTATGACGTGTTAACAGTTCAAAATTTTATCTTCATTCAATTTTTCATTTTTCAATTTCTATTGTGAGAAATATTTAAATTCTCACTTAATCAGACTTAAAAGCAGAAACCCATTAACTATAGAGCAAAATCCATTACTCAACAAATTGTAAAGAAATTTATGGATAAGCTATCAGAACGAGAAAAAACATATTTAAAATGAATGGAAACATATCTCTTCAGTATTCGCGAACAAAAAAAAAAGAACTCAAAACAATATTCCCAAATATTAGAAAATAGTTGAAAACAAAGAAAAGAAAAAACTAAATTCAGGCTTAACATACCTGGCCCATTTCCATGAAATCATTTTGCATTTTCTTCACAGTACTTGTTGCTGTAAGAAATTTGTTGTAATTTTCGTAAACAAGTTGTTGCATTTTGGAATCAAGCTGTCTAACCTAAAAAGTTACTCGGAATGATCAAGAATACTAAATAGTACTAAGTTTGCTATAAGATACTAAAGAAAACTAAATAATCAAACCATTGATTCAATGGAAAATTTAAAGAAATAAAGCAAAACTTTAAAAGAACTAAAACTTGAATTTCTCTTCAAAAAGTCTTTTGGGCTTTTCATAACATTAATTAAAAGTCACAAATGACTAACGTTATGCACCATATCTTCTTCGATTTGAACCAATTCATGCAAATTTTTCTTTCGAAATAAATCACTCAGATATGCTTCACTATTAAAATTTGTCGACCCAATATCCAACGGGTTACCTTTGTCTTCATTTTCTTTTTCATTATTCATTATTCGTTTTTTAAAATCCTAAAAAAAAGGAAAAAAAATTAATTTCGTATTAATTCGAAATACAAAAATGCATCTAACAATTAATAAATTATATATTCAAACTACTGGATAAATAATATATAATATATAGTTAAACTACTAGATAATAGAATTACAGCCACAGACATATATCAGTCACACTAATTTATAATGAACTAATCATTCACCTACAAATTACCACCAATCAAGTTGGAACTACAAAATAGATAGTAATCAGTAGGTGACAAAATAATCACTAAAATAATTAGGAAAATCTGAAAACAAATAGTAGTGTAACTGGTAAAATGTACGATACGATAATACATAAATCAATCCTAGCAGTACAATAGCTTTCGTACAGATTTAACGGAATAATTGCTCTAAATATGTGTGTGTATATGTATAACAATTATAATAATTATAATTTCTTAGAAAAGTATAACAATTACTTACAGTAATTGGAAAAAAAATGTAATACACCGAAAATAAAACCAATTTCAAAATCAGTTATGCATAAAAACACATAAAATATGATTTAAAATCGTACTTTACAATAGTTCAATCAATCAAAAACATCACTGATCCCGAAAATTTTCACAGCCGCACATTTTATGACAGATTAACAGACCGCGAAATAAATTGAACGCGGTTGGTTCTTTTTTCTTTTTCGTCACATTTACACCAAATGATATTTCGTGTTTTTATCATTTCTATGTTTATGGACTGATTCGTTAGCTAAAATTATTTAATATTAGAGCGATATTATGTATTATGTTGAAATATCATTTTTAGTTCAATAATTCGTGTTCAATTTTAATTTTTGTAATTTTGAAGTTGAATTAAATTTTTTTACTTATTTTTGTTTTTGATTTTTTTCTCCTTCCTTTAAAAAAAAAAAAAAAAAAAAAATTTAAACGCATAAAATTTATATGTGAAAGATAAAGTATATGGCAAATTAATAAAACAAATCACCACACTAATTGACAGGAAATTGACACTAATTGTATCATTTGCTTGATAATCGTCAATTTTATCATTTGCTTAATCACTACTAAATTTTATCCTTACTCTATCATCTTATCACTGTTAGCTATTATTGCTACTTTATTGCCATCGTAACGAATGAATGAATGAAATGAAAAGTATTATTCATCATAACATAATCATTCCCAAGCTATGAAATATTTTGCTATGGCCTTTTTCAATTTTATTCACATTGATTTATGTTCCTACTAACTTTCATTTCGAATATTAAACGAATATATAGATAGATGTAAGGAAATTTTTATTGTATCAATTTAAAAACCAGTTATTATCTTTGATATTAACAAATGTTGTGAGATTTTCTTTCCTTTTTCGGCCTTTATATGTTCCTTTTTTTTTTAAATATCTTGTAATTATGTATTATACAAGTCTGATAACGATCATGAATAACTTGCTTAGCGGAATGATTTGATAGCTGATGTTTAGTGGTTGTACCGTATTCCTTATACTTGTCCAGTTTATTTAATCATGCTATGAACAGAAAACCCATTTTTATTTATAATTCAACGAGTTATGTTGCATTGATCATGATGAGCTATACTGATAAAGAGATTTTATTTTGATATTATAAAATCAGCAAATTATTTTGATAAAATCAGTTTTCTGATCTAAGGTAATCTGTTGATTTAGGAAAAAATACTAAGATTGTTAAATAAAAAGTCTCCTTTTTGTTTCTTCCAAGTGTTGAATCATTTCTTATCAGTATTGCAACATGGTTTTTATCAGTAATGTGTCACCGATGTCTGCTAATTATCTCCACCACAACAGCTAAGTAAATTATCACTTTAAATAGGACTTACATCAATTGCACGATCACATCTCGAAATTTGATATCAGTAATTGTAATAAATAGTTTCACTTGTACGCAAACTTTTTTCATTAAAAAAAGTTTTTTTCTTGATCACAATATTCTTGTAAAAAAAAAAAAAAATTATTTTCGTGATAAACAATTCAAATACCAAAAATTAATAATAAATAGAAAAACTATTTCCAACTTTTTTTTTTTTCTTGAAGTAACGTTTAATAAGCTTTCGACAGTTTGTCAAACTTTTTTTTTTTTTCTTTAGTTTTTACTAATAATTTTACTAATATTTTTTACTAATGATTGAAATTTTCACTTAGAAGATGAGAATGGAATGTTTACCAATGTTTGTTTACAAAACGGTTGAATGCAATATGTGTACGTTTATACACACCGTGACGTAAACATTATCACGCATGTATAACATACGTATTTGCAAATACGTACACGTATATGCAGGAATATATGCGTAGATTTATGCATTTATATTTTGTTTTCTCTTTTTTTTGAGTTATCTCTTCTGCTATATAAAATTTCAGTCCTTTTAAGTATTAACAAAGTAAGGTTAGGATTCATTTTTCGCAGATAACGTATCGTTTTTTACGTCGTTTTAACGTACAAATTTTTTTGTTTGTTTTCTTTTTTTTTTTTTTTTTTTTATTTTTTAGATGAGTGGTAGCAGTGCAACTGTTGTGACGCAGCGTTTAGCTCCGAAACGTCAAACGCTGGATGAGGCATATGCGCCACCGGCAAATTTTCTAGAAATTGAGGTGATCAATCCGATAACTCATGGTGTTGGTAAAATGCGCTATACCGATTATGAGATTCGACTAAGGGTAATATATTGTGATGAAACTGCTAATGAAGATATGCAGAACTAAATTTTAAAAAAGCAAATAAGTATTTTTTTTTTATTTTAATTAACTTATATGAGATTAGATTATGCATATTATATTTGTTTCATCAAGTTTTTTATTCTTACATGCGTTCTGTAGCTATCTTTTTTGTTTAATTTGATTTCAGTGATTATAAGTTTAAATTACATCGCTGTAAGATTAAATTCGTATAATAAGTTATGAGCAATTAGAAATTGGTTAATTACGTTGTATAAAATTATTGCTTAGTTTGCTAATCGCTTAACTGTGACAAATTGCTTAATTATGCCTAACTTTTGCTAGTTGATACTTCTTTAAGGAATTTTAAAGTTATTTCATGGAGTGTTGCTTCATGTTAGATGAGTTATTTTGATTTGCAGACAAATTTACCGATATTTAAGCATAAAGAATCAAGTGTTCGTCGTCGTTATTCCGATTTTGAATGGCTTCGAGGTGAACTGGAACGTGATAGCAAGGTATATATTGCTTTTATTGCTAATTAAATGTTTAATCTAAGAAAAATTACTGTTGTTTTGAAACAATGATGTTACTGTTTTGTTATAAAATATTTGGATTAATGAATTGCAAAATTTTCATCTTTCATCATGATTGATAGTAATTACATCAGATAGGATTAAGATAAAATTTCTTCCTTGTTTCAGTCGGAAAATAGATATCTACTTATACTTACATGTTCAATATTCATTTAACTGCCAAAATCATCGAGCTAATTAGATGGAATGATTGCAATGATCTGACTCACAGGACACTTTTTTTTTTTTTTTATAATCGCGTTGTATATTTTCATTACTTTAGATTGTTGTACCAACTTTGCCTGGTAAGGCACTTAAACGACAATTACCGTTTCGTTCTGACGATGGAATATTTGAGGACTCATTTATCGAGGAAAGGAGGAAAGGCTTGGAATTATTCATTAACAAGTAATAATTCTTATTGAAGATTTTTTTCTTACGATTATAATGATTACTATTTCTCACCTTTCGGGTCTGAAATATTGTATAAATCATTTCGTTTAACGCAAAAGTTTTTAAGAAAGGCAACTTTCGATTTTTTTACGTTTCTTTTTTTTTTATAACTTCAAAATTTGAACACTGTGCTGCCATGCTAAAGTGATTGAATGACTCTTGGTAATACTTTCCGATACTTTCAATACGTTTACAATTGGTAGGGTATTCCCGAAATTTTTATTCTCGATGTGATGTTTAATCCATCGAAAAAGATACACAAATTGGATTTGCCACTAGTGATAACATCTTTTACAACTGGTAATTTTTAAAGCAAACTTTTTTTCTGTAGAGTTGCTGGTCACCCACTTGCGCAAAATGAACGGTGCTTGCATATCTTTCTGCAGGATGCAATAATTGACAAGCATTATGTTCCGGGAAAGATTCGTCTCACATAAATGTTTGCACTAATTTATTGTGGTATTCATTGCCATACAGCCATGGAACCAGCTGTTTCTCTTTTTTATTTTTATTTTTATTTGAACAATATATTAGGCTTCATTGAAGCAATTTTTTGTACAAGTTAATCTTTCTGTTGAAAAATGTATAAGATTTATTACTTAATCTTATTGTCATTTTTATAAGTGATATATCACATTTTCTTTTCGCTTCGTCTACGAATAAGTTAGTTGTCTAATAGCTGGTTGGTTATTGTTGTCGCTTTAACATGTTTTATTATAATGATGAGAGCGAATATATACATTACTATACGGCGCTTAAGTTTAACTAAATATAGCTGTTAACCATGCATAAGGTAGAAAAAAACAAAAAGTCTCCTATTATGTTCTAACTCATTAAACAGTTAACATAGCCTATGAAATGTGAGATACAGCTGATTAAGATCTGACTATTTACATAGCATTTACTTTTAATTATAGCTTTAGTAATTGTCTTTTTTAATCACTGTTACTATTATTAGCAGACAAAAAATTGAGATAATGTTTGTAATATTTTGCTGCTTTCTCTATTTCTACCTGTTCATATGTTGATATAATTCAACTTTGTATTTTATATTCTCCGTTTCTCTTCCTTTTTTGATTAAGTGCTCGTTTTATTATGTCAAATTTTAGAGATAATGATATTTGATCAAATTTTGAGTAGAAAATTTAGAAATCCTTCCTGCTTCTTTTTCACAGACAAAAGAATAAGATTCTTGTATTATATTTTTACAGTCATGAGTTCTCAATATTAGGAAAAAAAAATGCCATACTAATTAACAGTTATTATCGCTATCTCAAAATTTCTTAAATCTGAAGTTACTCTTTTTCAACCTTTAAATTATTTATCCTAAGAAAATTTTTTCTAATTTACCATTTTATCCATTGTCGCCTTACAACTGTTGCCATACATTTTGAGATTCATTGTTTTGAATTACATACCATCATCGGATTAGTTGATCATAACCTATTTAAGGATGCTTTTGTTATCAGGATGACTGATGTAACTTTTTGTATGATACAATCGATGTTACTATAATATGATATGATATGACGCCGATAACTGTTGTGCAAAATCCATTTCTGCCAGATTACCTATTTTCCATTCTCAATTCGTTCGTCCTTGCATAAGTGCCATTTAGTTGTTATGCGATATTTCATCAGTTATCGGTAAGGCGAGCAACGGAATGCTATTTATATGGTAAATTAACGGTATAAAAGTTGCAAAATTTCCTCTTTTATAACTTCCTATCTTTTTATTTTATTTTACTTTTTTGTTTTGTTTTGTTTTGTTTCGTTTTATTTTCAGATTTTATAATATTTCCGTAGATAAAAATGCATTATTGGTTTAAATAAAATTAGATATTAAGTAATTTACATTTTTAATTATTTACACTTCATATCCATTACCTTAACGATAAAAAAAGAAAAGTTTTTCATATATTCACTGGCAACAATAAATGTGCTAATTGTTTTATTGATTCCCCTTTAGAAATCATCTTTTTTTTCACTTTTATACAATTCCTGAAATTTTTCTGGTAATTTATTACTGATCAGTAATGCAATTTTATTTCATTTATACATTTTTTCTTTACGATTCTTCACTATATGATATGGTAGACTGTAGCATAAAGATTTTTCCATTGTGTTAAATTTCATTTACTATTGGTATAGCTAAAATTTTACATTAAAAAGTTATGAACAATTCAAAATATTCCTATTTAAGCTTACACCTAAAATTTGTTATAGTTACAAAGAAACAAATCAAAGAGATAAAATATAAATTACTACCCGATATCATTTAAAATTTAATCTTCTCGGTCAAATTATATAATTCAATTAATTGCATATGAATTTTCACATGGTTGAAGTTATTTAACTAAATGTCTTTGTGTTCATTTTCATGTAAATTTATTAGGTAGTAAAGTTCATGGAATTATTTCGGAACATTCTCAAAGAAATTACTCCATTACTTATTAGACTTTCTCAAAAGGAATTGAAATCATTTAATGTCATGGGATATTTTTTGCTAATTTGTATTTATTAATATAACGTTGTGCATATCAGTTTATCTCATTAAATCCTAGTTTTTTGCCTAGGATTTAGATGAGAAAAAAATTTTGATTATTGATTAATTATTTGACTCATTATTCTATTTAAAATTATTTCTGATGAAAATTGTTCAAAACAATTTGCATCAATTATCAAGGCGAAAATAATCAGTTATTGAGACAAAAGCAAATGAATTAATTATCAGGACAAATAAGTTAATTAGCTGCCGTTGCTTTTTATTAAATTAAAGCTAATTTAATAATTGTTAAATTTTAAAATTGATAGATTCTTTTCCTTCATTTTCTTTTGTTTATTTTTTTTCCCCGTCTGTCTTTCATCTTCATTTTGTCGCTTTTTTTTTTCTTTTTTCAAAGCAATAGAAAGAAATTATTGAAAATGTTACAGTAATTAATCAATAATAACAATTAACAATTGAAAAATTAAGATTCAATTTTACTGGATAGAAATATTTATTTACCAAATGTTATGAATTAGTCACTAACAAATGTTCCAGTATTTTCCTCATCTTTCTTAAATGTACTTCATTTTTTTTTTTTGCTCCCTCTCTCTCTTTTTTCTTAATCTTATTTTGCATCTTTCTCTTACTTATTTATTGAAAATTTTAGATAAACAAAAAATTATAATAATGATAATGATGATAAAATTTATCATTAATAATAATAATAATTTACATATTAATTAAAATTAAATATGAACAGGAAATGAAATTGCAAAAATAAAATGTATTTATGAATTTTCCTTTCTTTCTTCTTCTCATTTCTATATATGCAAAATTTAGTTTTAGAAAAAATAGAAAAATTTTAGGGACAAAAATATGTTTTAGAAATGATATATATATTGCACTTATTATTGTAAACTTTTAAAAATTAAAATTCCACCAATTCTAATCAGTTGTTTATCATTTCTTTTCTGTTCAATATTATTCTATTCGAAAAAAGTAATACAATTATTTCTATTAGGATTTGATTTGTTATAAATTTTGCTGGAATTTTCAATTATTATATCAATGCCATCGTATAATAGTTGATTAATGAATAATCATTTCCAATGAACATTATTAGATAATTAATTAATTTTTTGTAAAAATCTCTCTCATAAGAAAATTCAAATTTTTTTTCGTTCAACTTGAAATATTCCTTAACAATAAATACTTTCTCATTTACATTGAACAATTAGTTTGATAATAAGTTCGATGTCAATGACAAAGGATTTTTGTTTCAAATTTTCATTGTTTCCTTTTTTCTGTTTCACTGACTTTGAATTTTAATCTTAATAACTAAAAAAAAAAGGAACGAGTTAATAATTTAATTAATAAAAATATTGACGATGATAAGAAATAAGTGAAAGAAAATGCTTTAATGAAGTTTTAATCAATTGCTAATTTCAAAATCTTTCTTTAAGATTTATTTCTTTGCATTTTAGTTTTATATAAGAAAAGATTTTAATCCAAATGTTACAAAAACTAATAATTTTCTTTTTTCTTTTCTTAAAGTATCTAAATAATACATTAATCAAGCGAATACCCTTATATCCTTTATAGCTTAAACATTTCCACTAATTAATAATATGATAATTTAATTATAATTCAAATTTTCTCAAAACTTGAAGAACCAAATTTAAAAATTCACATTTTTATGCTGCGAAAAAAAGAAAATCGATAATAAAATAATGAATAACTTGCATATATTATAAGTTTGTAACAATTTTTGATATTATCACTTATTCTAACTCTCATTTCTTTTTCATTTCATTTTTTTTCCAGCAATATTCAAATGAATTTATATTAGCTTTTTTACTAAATTCATTTTTTGTGCTAAATTTTTTCCACCAAATTTTCTATATATAAAAAAACTTAATTTGAATTAATTTATCACTTTGTAATATATAATAGAGAATAAGATTAAAATACAAAATATATAAGATTAAGCTAAGATATTAGATATTCTAAAATATGCAAATTTTTTTTCGAAAACTTAATTTTTATCTGTTTCACTTTATCACTTATATTTCATTTCCTTTTTTTTTTCTTTTTTTTTTTTAAAAATAAACTTTTTGGCCAGGAATTTGCAAATATTTAATTTTAGTATAGTTCTAATGAAATTAGTGAAACTATAAAAATCTAAATGGAAATTGGGTGACCGCAATTTTTTAACCTGATTATTGATTGATATAAATTGATTACCTAACAAATTGTGAAAACGGAATTATTAAGTAATTAATTTTATGATAACAAATAAATTAATCACTTATGAATTTTTTTAAAAAAAAAAGATTAAATTCAGATTATTATTGGTGTAATTTCTTCAAGTTACGCCAAGCAAAACAAGATGTAACTTTTTTAGTGCTTAATCAAACATTTTATTAACATTAATAATTCTATTAACATTTGTTTTGTGATATCAAATGATTAAATTTATCATTATCATGAATTGTTTACTGATAAAATTTCAATTTTTAACTCAAAAATTAGTTTGAAGATTTCGGTTTTAAAATTAAAAGTACTTACCTGATATTTAGAATTAATATTATCGTTTTGCAATATTTTTTTCCTCTTCTATAACTTTTTTTTTTCTTTTTAATAAATTCTTTTGTTGACATTTGTCCTTTATATAAATTTTTTTTTACCTATTTTTTCTTTATTTCTTTGAACTTTTATTTCCGTTTCTTTTCATATGTTTTTTTTTTTATCATAAAAGAAAAATTGAAATAATTTATTTTGACGCAAATCGCACATATTTTAGTTTCCTATCCAACATTATTCTTTGAAGCATATTAGTCTAAATAAACAAGAAAATTTGTGAATATTTTCTTCATTTTTTTTCCATTTTTCTTTATGTTTAATATTTATATTATGAAAATTTTGCGTAAAATGATAAATTTTATGATAATAATTTGCTTTATTAATTCATCATAAATTGATAATAATAGTTTATCAGTGTATGTTAACATTTTTTAGTATAAACCTTTTAGGAGCAAGATAAATTTAAATATTAATGAAACATTTTTTTCTTCCTTTTCACTTATATGTAAATAATAATTATTATCTCTTTGATCTTTGATAGGGACCAGAAATAATTTTTTAAAGAAATTTCAAATTTTTTGAAATTTTATATTTTAACGACGATTTTTAACATTGCAGTAAAACTTTTGAGTGAAATAATTTTGCGTAACAAATATGTAATAACAATTACTTTTTTCAGTAAACACTTAAATGTGCAAATTTGAATACATTAACAAAATGTCATAATTAATTGTTGACTTTAAATTTTATAATGGTATAAATAAATAAGTAATATATGGTAAAGGAATGTCAGGAATTATGTCAATTAAGAAATGTATTAAAATGTGAATTTTGCTGGCAGATATGAATCAAAATTTATGTTATGTCTACTGAACAAAACTAACAAATGCGAAAAGATTTGATAAAAATTTTTTTTTTTTTCGAATGGTTTTAAAATAAAAATGTAATTATGGTTAATTTAAATAAGCGAAGAAAATTGTTGGCAAATGTGAAATAAAATTAACAATTATATGTTTAAGTTTTTGTGAAAGATTAAAAATGGAAAAAGATGAAAATATCAATTTTAAGTGATTACTTGTCATTTAATTTTTCAAATTTTTATCTGTCTAAATAATCTTCTTTTAATTTAATCATATAGGAGCATTTAATAACATGAAAAATTATAAGATTTAAACTTTATTCTAAAATTTAATTAACAAATTATTGATAAAATACATTTATTTCTCTCAGTTCTAATTTTTTCTTATTTTTCACATATTCAAATTACAGAAACAATTTTTAATATCAATAATTTAGGCAGAAAGCATCTTCCATCTTTCAATTTATATTTAACTAAATATTTTGATACTACAAGTGTTAATTAAACGACTAAATTTAGTAGCAATGGGCATTGTTTGATTTGATTTTTTTTTTTTTGAACTTAAAGTCAATAATATTTGTATTTATTATTGTTCATTGACTGCCTAACTTTTTTGTGTGCAATTTCGATATTAAATATTTTGACTGTATAAACTATAAAATTTTTTCTTTTGTTTTTATCAGACTTTTCAAGAAAATTTTAACAAATAATTATTATAATACTTACTGAATTATTCACCATTTCATTTATTTCACCTCATCATTTTAACTTTTGCAATTTCTCATTTTATTCAGAATATCTTTAATCCTATAGCAGTATATCTAATCGTCATTTTCAAATTAAAATTTTTTCTTTTTCAGTTCTAAATAATTGGAAATTTTGAACGTAGAAATGCAAATGAACATTGCTAGCGAGGAAGATGGAGATAGCAAAGGCGGAAATGCTACTCCATTTCATTTATTTCACCTCATCATTTTAACTTTTGCAATTTCTCATTTTATTCAGAATATCTTTAATCCTATAGCAGTATATCTAATCGTCATTTTCAAATTAAAATTTTTTCTTTTTCAGTTCTAAATAATTGGAAATTTTGAACGTAGAAATGCAAATGAACATTGCTAGCGAGGAAGATGGAGATAGCAAAGGCGGAAATGCTACTTTATCATTTGATTTACCGCCCAAAATACGTCAAAAATCATATAGCTTTATTGGTAGTAAACATGATGCTATATTTAAGACAAATATTAGTAAAAATGCAGAACATCCTAAACTTATCAAAATCAATTCATTTGAAAAGATTTCTACCTTAACTGATTTACATAATCATTCTAAGACACGCTCATTGCTTCGAGATTTCCGGAAATTATTCATGAAAAATAAAAGTTCAATAGATGATACTGTTATTACCGATACTACTACTGCTACTGCTACCACTACTGTTGCTGCTACTACTAATACTGTAGATAGTAAAGAAATGGAGAATGAAATGATTGATTTAAATGATTCGATCATCCAATTAAGGAAAAAATCCCTTTCTTGGTCAAATTATGAAGCACAAAAAATTTTTCGAAAATGTCGCAAATTTGCGGAGCCAAAATCTGCTAGTAAACGTATTTATTCATCAATTCTTGCATTACGAAGTAATCAAAATATGAATCAGACTGTTACCAAAAATATGGAAAATACGGAATGTACTGTATATGCAAAGGTATCATTTAATTAATTTGAATCATTATTATTTATTCTTTAAAACTTTTATAATACTACTGAGTGATAATTTTAAAGTATTTGATAAACTGAGTAACATTCATCAATTGCTCATACAGTAGGATACTATTTTCTATTACAGTATTATATATGGTATTCATTCTTCAGTGGTATATGGTAGTTTTGCTACGGTGTTTTTATCCTTAATATGCTTTTATAAGCATCATGCCTTCAGTATAGTCTTAATAGGACAAATAATATTACCGTAGTGTAGAAATGCTACCGTAATAAAACGCACCTATCGTAATAATATATTAATTTCGAATACGGTGCTTTTTTATTTTGTGTGATATAGTGAATATCATTCTTTAAACTCAGCCCTAAATAGATTTCTTCAAATATCTCAGTAATTTTTACAGTTTTACTTACGAAGCCATAATCTTAATGTATTTCCCGGATTTATTCGAATTAATATTAAATTTTAAATAAAATCATTGATCACAGTACTGATAGTTTATCAATTCTCTTTAATAAAACTATCATAACAATTAGGAGGATCCAATTGACAAAATAATGGAATAAAAGGCATTTGAAATTGTGTAAGTAAATGGATGAATTTTTGAGTAATTCAGGAATTCTCGATGGGAATATCAACAAAGCAGTGGCAATCAAATCAATGTAATAATAATTTTTACAAAACAGCGGAACTGGAACAAATGAAAAATGTGGAAAAGCAAAACAATGAAACAAATGGTAATAATTCCGTATGATTTCAACAAGTAAATAAAGAAACAAATCCAGGTTTTATAAATAATTCTTTTGTGTTTTATTTATAATTTCTTACAACTGCAAATAATATGATGCGCTTTTGTCTCATCGCATATTTCATACAAAATAATATATTATAGTATCAAATTGAATAAGGGATGAACTGCTCTTCATTACATTATTTTTTATATAACATTTTTTACAATTTTTTAATCATTGCTTCAAACATTTATATAAGTATTCGTTTTTTTTTTTTTTTTTTTTTCAGATGAAATCGCAAAAAAATTAATTTTAAATTTGAAAAACTTTTATAATATGAAATGAATGAATTTTAAACTATTTTAAACATACTATTTTTTATACTAATAATTCATATTTCTTATTGTTTTAAATATTCATTTGTGTAATCTCCTTTCAAAAAAAGTAATTAAATTGTTAATTTTTGCTTGAAAGCTTTTTTTTTTTTTTGCTTATGGCCAAAAAATAATATGAAAAGGCTTTTGCTTTTTTCATTATATTAATTGCTATATTAAAAGCATATTTTTTTAGCATCATTTTTTCTAAAAAAAGAAAAAAAAAACTTGCTAGAAAATTAATTAAAATTTTGGAATTTTTTTCTTTTTTTGATTTTCAATCTTTTTTCTTCTAAACCAATAACTGATTTTATTCATCACTAGAATCATTGAAAAGAAAAATTAAATAAATAAATCATTCGTTTCCAATGTAAGTACCATCACAAATTTTATTGATTCATTTTATAATGCTTGAAAATTTTTCCTTTTTTTGTATCTGTTGGAGTGCTCAACAATGAATCAAAAGATTTTCCTCCTGTCATACAATATATGCTTCATTTATTTTTTTCAAAATTTCTTTTTTTTTTTTTTTCTACATATTTTAAATTTCAAATAATAAAATAAATTATAAATGATAGTGAACAAAAATTTTCCACACTAAGGTTTGGAGTAAAAAGAGAAGAAAAGTATGCTAATTAATTGCTAACAAGTAATTGGCTAAGAATTTTTCTATTAGTTTTTTTGAGTTACAATTCGTTGAGATAAACTTTTAAAAAATCTTAACTTATGACCTATAAGGTAATGTTAATATTAGTAGAATCGAAAATTTGAAGTATAGATATTTTAATAGAGTTTCCAATGTTAAATAATAAATCTAAAAATCTTTTTTTAGAATTGTATATGCTTGTCATATTTGATTGAAAAGTTTTTTAGTTTTTAATTAACACTAATAATATCTTTTAAAATTAATAGTACCTTATCAAGAAAGTAAAATGCTCCATTTTAAATTAATAACATCTATCAATGCAATGGCAAAAATGACATCAATATTCAAAAAAATATTTGGACATTTTATTTTATTATCATGAATATTTTTCATTTCAACTTTGTTAAGTTGAAATAATTTCAATATGAGATAAAATTTATTTTAATATGAGATAAAGTAATTGAATAACTAGTTGAGACAGTTATCAGATTAATAATTAAAATCATTGAAAATTTCAAAAATTTGTTTATTTCATAATGAAGTAAGCAAAAAAAAAAAAAGAAAAAGAAAGAATAAAAAAATTAAAATTTTTGTCAAAAGAAATTTTTTTTTCTTTCTGCTTCTTTTTATTCACAATAGTTTGCAATTTTTGTCTTAATAAACATCTAATTTAAAAAATTTTTACGAAACCTGAAAAAGCAAAAAAAAAGTGAAAGAATTTCTTTAAATTTATTTTATTTCAAAATTCACTTTTTTTTTATCACATCTAAAAAGTTAATTCGAAAAAAGAAATGTAAAAAAATATTGAAATGTTTAGCTATTATTCGCAATCTTGTTGATATGTTTTCTTCTTGCTCATCAATTTAACAATTTTGTTTAATTATTTTGTATTATATCACCTTCAAATCAATTCTCTTTTCTTTTTGTAAAAGTTTTTTGTTTTTTCATTTTTTCATTTTCTATTTGCTTCATTTTATAGCTATCATTAAGTAACTAATTAATGCAATTTAAATGAAACTAAATTTATAAATATTTGGACATATTAACTGTAAAATGTAGAAATTTTTTTCTTTCTTTTCTCTTTTCTGTTTGGTAATTAAGAAAAGGTAGAAATTTCATAAAAATGAAAATAGAATTCTTTTTTGCCTTTTCTTTTATCATTTCTAAACGATTGTGCTTTTCCACTTTTTTTTTTTTTCAAGATAAAGAGGAAGATGAATTAGACTTTGGCTAATTTTGAATTTATGTTAGAATGAAAAATAGAAGAAGGATAGCAGTGAGTGAAAAACAATATAATTGAAACATTTTTTGAGGAAAAATTGATGTAATTAATTTCTATCTTTAATTTTTTTTTTTAAAAATAATTCATGTAAATTGGTTTTTTTTTATTTAGTAAAGACTTTAAGTGTTTTTTACTTTTAAATGTAATATTATTTCTGAAAATTTTGATAAATTCAACATTTATTATTTTGTTGTTTTCTCTTTTTTTTTTAAAAAAAAAGAAAAAGTTGCTTATTATTATTATATTTTGCTAAAATTAAATAAAATAATGAAAAAATTTTTTTTTTTTTTTTTTTGTTTTTCAGAGCAAAATGAAAATGTTGTGAAAAAGTTGAAATTACATGGATATTTTTGTCATATGCAACTTTATCAAACATATGCAATCATTGTTGTTTATGCAAAATTTTTAAAATTAAAAATTCATCTTCCATATAATATTATTCAGCAAATTTATCTTATTCACGCCAATAAAAATTTGGAAAAAATTATGGTTAGTCTTTTTTCTTTTTTTTTTTTTTATCCTTTTGCAATTATCAGAAATATCACATAAATTTAGTGTAATGAATAGTTTTCTAATTAATTTCAATTACATTAACGAATTTGTCATTTGCCCTAAAAAAAAAAAAAAAAAAAAAAAAAAAAAAAAAAAAGTAAGAAAAAATAAATAACAACAAAAATAAAACCAATCATTATTCTTGTTTCTTTTTTTTTTTTTGATAGAGCCGACTGATTTGAAATTCATAAATGTGAAATGGAAATTTTATCTGTTTTTTTTTTTTTTTTTCGTTCTATTTCTCCTTTTCTTTCATTTTTTCTCAATTTTTCATCTTTTTTTTTTAACAGTTTTTCATCCATCTTTTTTTTTCCAATTTTTAATTACAAAATATAATTCTATCAGTAAAAAAAGAAATTTCATTAATTTTATAGTCTCTGTTTGCCACTGTAAAATGCACTTTTCATTGAACAATATGAAATTATATAGCAAAACAAAAATATAAATTTGATTCTAAAATGAAAATTAAAATGAATATTATTACAGGCAATATTCAAATTTCATCTACTAAAAATTACTACAAATTTTTTATTGTTTTCAAATTTTTAAATCTACTCCAAAATTTTTTTTTTTATTCAATTTAAAATAGAATTTAATGCAAATTTCTTCAAATTTTTTTCTAAACTTTATTTTAAAAAATTTTCAGTTTATTTTAAAAAAAAAATATCAAAATTTAGTGATTTTTTTTAGAAAAAAAGATTATTTAAATCTTTTTTTAAAGCAGATTTAAATAAACTTTAAATTTTTGTTTCATTATGTCAAGTGCTAATGCATAAGTTGACACACTAATATTAATTTCTTTCGTAAATTATTAAATTCAACTACTTGCTGTAACTTATAATCTAAATAGGAGAAAAAAAAAAGCTGAACAAATTTCCTTAGCAAAATTTATAAAAAAAAAATCTTTTTTTTTGATGAGAAAAACATCAAAGAAATTCTTTTCAATCCCATCTCTCTCTCTCTCTCTCTCTCTCTCCCTCTCTTTTCACTTCTTCTTTAAAATTTGTTTAATTATATTGACGATCGGTTAGACTTTTCATTAAAAAAATTTTTTTATTCAATTTTATTTCCTCCTAAGTTCATCGTTTCATCCCATTTTTTTTTTTCTGCTATTAAATTGAACGATTTTTTTAATGAATAAATGCCATTTGAATTAAATAATTTATAAATTTTACGTTAAGCTTTTTCCTGTTTCTTAAATTTTTTTTTTTTTCTTAAAAAAAAAGGAAAAATTTTTAAAATAATTTGTTGGTAAATTTATTTGGAAAAAAAAATGAAGGAAAGAAAAATTGGGAAAAAATATTTTCTGTCTTTTTTAAAAAATTTTTTCAAATAATTTATTGGGAAATTTTTTTTCTGCGAGTCATTTTAGAAATTATTTAAAAATAGTAAAGAAAAAAATTAAATTATATAGAAGTAATTAGGTCGAAATTTTTTTTTCTTTTTTTTTTGCAAATCCAAAATTTGTCACAGTTCTAATTTCCAGTAATTAAATTTCAGAAACTACAATACAGTGATAAAAACTACTTTATAAAGGACAAAGAGAAAGAGAGTAGAGATAGAGGGAGAGAGAAAGAGAGGGAGAGAGAAACAGCACGATCAAAGTTTAAAGAAATTCTGTCATTTTTTCATTTTTTTTTTTTAATACTCAAGTAGAAATTAAAAGTTATCGGTTTTTTTATTTTATTTTTTTTAATTTTAGTAGCATTGTTTATTAAATTATACACTATCTCTCTAATAATTCTCGAAATAATTGTCTAAAAATTTTGCATAAATTATAATCAATGGATTGAATAAATTTATTGCTATAAATTAATGCAAAAATAAAAAACAAATATTTGTTTTATTTTTTGGATTGATTATTAAATTGTTGTGATTAATTAATAATTGATTAATTACATTCAAATATTTTTATCTTTTTCATGGAATTATTTCAATCATTTTTGTTGTATTTCAAAGATTTTTGCTTCCAATAAAAATTAAATTTCATTTTTTCTTTCATTGTTTTTAAAGAAATACATTAAAATTAATTTATTAATCAAAATTTTAGATCAAAATGGCAAAAAGGAAGATTCGTCTTACTACAAAACGACATATTTTCAAAGATTTATGTCAATTTTGGCGTGCTACGACTGCTTTAACAAATAATCGCAGAAAGGTCAAATAAAA